CGTCGTTTTGTCGTTCACATTATTTTAAAGTCGCTTTTGAAAATTATTGTTAAATAAGGATTATGGAGAATCAGCCATATATGACACAGAGACACAAGCATTGGAGATTGTGTATCCACTTTTTAGGCTTTAAAAATCAATTTTCCAATAATGATTCTTTTGATTACGGTAACTATTAATATATTTATTTACATGTATAATTACTAAAGATTTGAATATTCGAAATGTAACAATAAGCTTCCGACAATAAAATAGTGCTTTTGTGGCAGTCTGTTGAAAAAATAACTCCAACTTATCTAACAACTTCCCGTTCAATCAACCTTTGAAGGGAGAAAATTTTCCACCATTACAAGTACCTGTGCGGCACAGCGGATGTTATCAAACATGTGAACGACAAGTAAAAATCAAGTAAACGTTTGAGGAGGACAAATGTCTTTGTGGCAGTTGTAGTGTGGGCGAGTGTAACGGTGTCACTCTGTAAGCCAGTTAAACGTAAATGTTTTTTATTACATTCATATGCGTTAGAAGCATTTTTTGACCATAAACTAAAGAGGCTATTTATTAAATTCTACGTTTGAGAACATTAAAAAATAGCTGGTTCAAAAAGTTCTAAGTAGCTTTATTGCTGTTGGAAAAACTGTTCTTGTTCAATTTTGCTTACTTTGAAAACCTTACAAAACTTACTTTTTTATTGTGTTGTGAATCAATTTATTTTTGAAACTCATTTCCAGATACCAAATCATATAAATACTAAATACATGAAAATATTTTTTGTATGAATATGAGTAGAAACATGAACACTATGAAACATATAGCAATACAAACATATACCCATATTCTAACAGGTCGATAAATACGTATTGCATGACACATAAACACAAACGAAAACGTGCACATTGCTTAAATAATCTACGGTCTACAGGTGTAATACTTCCAAGTCTATACAAATATGACGACGTCCATAAAAATGAGATTACATAAACTCACCAATGCATGGAAAAATTGAGTAAACATTTTATTGATCAGAAAATTCACAAAGTTTAATCTCTATCACATTTTTTTTAGAACATTAGGCAAAATATTTCAGACATTCATTCATGTATATATTCATTTATTTATCCATGAATTATTCAAAATTGTTCGTTTTAAATTTTTTTAAATAATCATTCAGATACATCTCGCATATATAAATGTTTATATCAATCTAATTATTTATTTAGTTCAATAGATTCTGTGATGTAATCACTACGTTTGCCATTTGTCGCCGATTATCAACTAAAGATTAATTAATTAATTAATGATTGAGGAAAGGTTTATCAAATCCATTCCTTTATTTACATTCGCAATAATTTGTTATCCAGAATGCTATTGTAAATGATGCGTGGTTTATTGATTACGCAATGAGCTGCGTTGGAAATGTTCATTTATTACGTTAATTCATTCACGCCTCTCTAATTTTATATAAGATGTTGTTGGTACGTATAACGAAGACATGTTGTGATGCAAACTAATATATATTTTTTTTTCTTAGTAAAATCATTTTTCATGATTTATTTTTTAAATTCATTTTAATAGAAAAAAAAATTTTGTACTTGTAAAGAAAAAATTGTGTTGATTATACAACATCCTTGAATAGGTTTTAATCGTACACCGGGGCGTTTAGGTTCAATTGTATAACATATAAACATACACATACATACATCTCTATATGTATATACATTGTATATATATATATAGAGAGAGAGAGAGAGAAAGAGAGAGAGAGGGAGAAAAAAGACAGAAAGAGAGAGATTTAGTGTGACAAGTGATATGTATTTAACGTTACTCCAAAGAACGTACTTTATGGTTTTCTGTTAGAAAATTTATGACATTTTGTGTGTAGGGTAGAGTGAAAAGGGGCCGATAACGACATTATTAATAGCGCTGTACCTCCGCGTCGACTCGATCATATAAATTTATTCCTGCGTAATATCGCGAATGATGATGCCTGTATATAAGTAAATGTTTAGCACTGGAGTACCTTGAGATGTGCAGCTCACGTAAAATATATGAAAGTGTACATGTGCTTTTGTATCAGGCGGTTGTATTAAGAAAATTATGCTTGCGTTGTGTGCATGGAAAAGTGTCTTTTTGTGTGAATTTTGTTAGAAGAAGCATCGTGTCCCGCCTGAGCAAGTAACAAGAGACGGACGAGTATTTTAAACGTTTTAAAAACATTTGATGAGATAGAACCGCTGGCAAGAAGAATGAAAGTGCATAACAAATTGGGTGGAGATGTGTTGAAGAATTTAAATAAAGACAGATTTATGGAAGGTTATATATATTTCAGTTGCTACATGAACAAATTTACACGAAGTGCAAAGGTCACAAAAAAACTTCATACAACAAAATACCTTTGAAAAGAAAATACGCAGCGTTCTATACTTTACATACTTAAATGCGTTAAGTAAATGATAATTCATGTTTTAACATTTCTACAACATTATAAAAATTCAAAGCACATCTTTCAATAATTGATCAAGAAATTTCTCTCTCAAAGTTACAATCGTATTACAAACAATTTTAAAATTAAGTCAATACACCAAACACTTCCCATACTTTAATTCATCAAGTCTTTTCAAGCAGTAAGGAAAAATTGAAACATGCGAAACTTATGGGAGAAACATGGTGATGAGTATGCAGAATCCAATTCGCGAATTCAAATAAAACAGGAAAAATTTTAAATTCATTGCTTCAACAAAAAAAATCCATCTATCGACACTTTTTCATTTTAATCTGAATCACGTTTGTATGAATAACTTTCATCATTCACAAAGATTACTACCTTACCACCGTTCTATCGAATTAATTCAGTAATACAATTTTACCAGAGAGCAGTTAAATTAAAAAATGTGAATAATCTTGACAAAATGTAAACATGTTAAGCAATATGTATTTTACAATTGAACAAGATGGGTAGAGAAATAAATGGATGAAAAAAATAAAATACGTTAAATGCAGTGCACAAAAAAGGTAACACTCAATTACTCTATTTAGAGTTGAAGAAAGCAGGCGGCTGACTTACTAACTTGATGGATGTGCAATGTGGATATTCCTTCAAAATCTATCCTCCTTTGCAATAAACAGAGTGTACGTGTACCTCTGTGTTTGTGTGTGTACGTTTGTGTACGTACCTGTTTGTGCGCTTATGTCTGGATGTGTTGTATATGCCTCAGTGAACCTACGCGTCTGTGTGTGTTTGTGTATTTTATTTGTGTAGATGTGAATGATTGGGTGCTTGTATATGTATGTGTGTGTGTGCGTGAGTCTATGCCTTTATTCTATGAACTAATGATTTGTTCAACAGCTTTACAAACTTCCAATGTTGGCAAGTGCAATGCATTTTTTAAAGGAATGTATTTTATTTGTATATTTGCGAGATTATTTCATTTTTAAAATATCAAAAACAAATTAATAATTTATAAAGCCTGTAGTGGCAAATAAGACAGAATTGTATTAGCAACATTAATAACTTGCTAGCAATTCCGTAAATTTTATTATATAATATTTATTATTAATACTTCGTAACATTATAATATGTACATTTCACTCGTCGACGAACGTCTTCGATCGAACTGCATTTCGGTTTGTGGCATTAAGTCTGTACGTTTGCGTTTTTATATGCTCTGACTGGTTTCATGCACAACACACTATACTATAAACATGTATATATATATATATATATATATGTGTGTGTGTGTGTGTTTGCGTGTGTATGTGTGTGTGTGTGTGTGGTGTGTGTGTGTGTGTAGACATATGCGTGCCAGTTTGTGTGTTTATTGAAGCATCATTAACCGGTCAACCCACATCCAGCACGCTCTTAATTAGATTTTTTTCATTATTTGAAAACGTTCCTTCTGTTGAGCGTTTTCCAGTAAATGAAAAATAAAATTTGCGACATATTTTAAATTTGAATCTTATTATAAAAAAATACTATTCGTATATGTGTTCAACCTAGATTATAGATTTTGGAAATAAAAAAAGTTTTTGAAAACAAAGTACAATCTAAAATCTAACAGAAATTTGTTCAAAATTAAATGTGCTTTGTTTATTTCTTACTTTCTTGACTTCAAAGGAAAGAATACATCTCAAATATGCATCAATCGTGCAAGCAACCCAAACGCGGAAGATTCCACGTTGAACTTATAAAAACCTACATCGTCAATTTCAGATTTACAACTCCACTCAACCATTTGAGGCAGTTGTAAACGAGAACATTTACGAGCAGTTCTATTTTGTTTATCTTTTTGTACTCCGTATTAGAAAAATTTATAATACACAAAATTATAATTAATAATGATTATTATGTTATGTTAGAAATGTGCTCAATGCAGATTTATGAGCCAATGAATTTAAAATTGAAGAAAACCAAACATTAAATTTCATCTTAAAATATTGAAAGATTTAAAGACAAAACTCGAAGTTATGTGCGTGTATGTCGGCATGTTGTTCAAAACTACGGCAAACAACCCTCAATTGCACAAACATATGCACGTATATTGAAACCATTTCAATGCAGATCTGATGTTGCTCCGTCTCGTGTTCCATTGATGACAATCTGCAAGACGAAACGCCCAACAAACACGTGACACCACTCCTATATTGGCACGCGTAAGAAATTTTCAAAGGATCAAAAACTCACAGACTTCTATTGAGTAGAGAAATCTTTTTATGTTCGATCGATAATCGAAACTGCTTATTTCAAAGCCATCTACATAAAAAGATTTTTTTGCAGACATCAGGCAACGATCCACCAGACAAGTAAGGAATGCATTTTCCACACAATGAATCTGCAACACAATACAATAGATACCTCTTTCCAACGTTTCAACCATCTCTATCTATCCCTCTACTTAGCACAATCTCCGCAAAGTATAAAATAGAAACATAACAATTTGGAAAACAAAACATGCATTTATTTATTCCTGGGCACATACAATCAGTCATCAGTTACTTGTAATTCAGGATGTCGCCAGTTTGTTATACATATGATCGTTATTTCTATTGAAGAACATAGGCAATAGACATCCCGTTTCGTCCGTTGATGTGTCTAAAGTCAACTGCATTTGATAAACAAGCCATGCGCAGTTGCAGAACATATTTTTATAATGATTGTTATGTTCATTTTCTTCTTTCTGCATGTCTTCTAAAAACATTTCAAAGTTTTTATCTTCTATTTGGGCGCAAGCTCTATTTAGTTTGTCCTAGTAAATTTATTTCATCAAATGCTTATTATTTATTAAAATTTTCTTATTAACCTGTGAGCGGTGTAGCAAAGAAAGGCCGCGGTTAGGGCATCATTTTATAAGGACGAATTTTTCAGTACTGTTTAAAAAATATACTAAAAAACTTTTATTAGAATTTTCTAACAACAATAAAAATCAGATAGAATATAAACAAAAGTACTTTTAAGCAGGTTATAAATTGTTCGTTGAAATTTAGTTGAATTTGAAATATACTGTCTTTGAAAATTTTATTTAGAAAACTATGCGAAAAATAAGTTTTTTGTATAAGGCACAATATATATAATTTTAGCCAAGAGGCGCAAATGACGGATTTGCTAGGGCAAATTTTATTGTCCCTATCCAATATTTAAAATTAAATATATATTTATTTAATCATTAATTTGAAAAATAAAACTATGCGTGCATAGAGTGAAAACCTAGAAAAACTTGCTGAACCTAGTTTGTTTTAGATTTGTGTTAGCGTGCTTGTTCGCGAGTATGCACTCGTGTGTCTTCTGGATGTTTCTTGTATGCCATTTCTCTATTGTTTGAATTCGTGAGTTATAAATTAATCTTTTTGTCTTAGGGCAGCCGTACAAGTTCGTTAAAGTACCGTACGTTGAAAAGGAAGATAAATATAACGTCGATGATGATAACTCTGATGATGATGATAACTTTGAAGATGACGGTTATGATGGTCGAAACGACCACGTTAATTATGTTACGTACAATTCAACTGAACCTTAAATTCACGAATATTTGTTAGTTTATGTGTGCTTGCGCGTGTGCGTTTTTGTGCACGTGCGTGTATGCTAATGCATGTGTGTATTTGCGTGCGCGCGAGACTAGCAGACAACAAGCATCCGAAAATAACGTCTGTTGACATTGGGCCGTTCGTTTCGTAACCGATTTCATTTGGTCGTCTGCTTAAGTTAATCACGTGACCGCCTTTCATTGTCCACCTGAAGGCCAGTAGGCATAAACATGTGTATGGTGTATGTTGTAGTGCTTGTATGTGTGCGTGTGTGCGTGTGTGTGTGTGTGTGTGCGTGCGTGCGCGTTTGCATGCATGTTGTAACGTTTGCAATATTAAAACCAAATAAATATCCACGCATGAGTGTATGTTTGAATTTTTGTGCATGCATCTGTACAGTGGATCTTGCTAATAATTTTTGTCATTTTTGGAGTGCTTACGCATGCTTCCTATTGCATTAGCTTGGAATTTTGTAATGGTTTCTTGTTTATTTACGATGTTCGTATTAACATTTTTTTCAAACATCATAATTGTATATCGATATAAATAACTATATTTATGTTGGATCAAATTTTGGATTATTTTTCTCACACGTTATCTTATATTTCATTCAAATGCCAAAAAATCAATATTCATGTTTAAAAATTTTTCGGCAGTATCTCGTTTTGATTTACAATCATCCTCCAAAAGAAAAAAATCTGTTAGTGAGAAAATTTCAAGGTGAAAATCTAAAAACTTTCTGTAAGTACACATAACAAAATGCACACAAAAAATTAATGAAAATTTTTTTTGTTATTATTCTCTAAAAAAACATAAAACCTGACTGGTGCAGAAACCGTTACAACTTGCAAGACATCATTATAAAATGATAACGGAATTATAGCGGGAAATAAACAATAAGCGAAACCATGGCAGACGTGTTCAAGATCATACACGTACACAAAGCAAATTTTATATTTCATTGCGCGTTTCTATAATAAACGTGCTGTTGTAATATAATTTAACGACATCACGAACCCTGCTAACATCAAACCGTTCAATTCTAACGCTCGTAAAATTCCCGCCCTTTTCAAATTCTCGTAATGTATTTTCTGCCATTTCTTTTTATCTTCCATTCGTGTTTGTCTTGTTTTTTTTTCTATTATTTTGTTTTTAAATATTCTTGTAACTTTTTTGTAAATTGTTAATCCTTCATTCATTCATTACTACATTTATTATTAACCGTAAGAGAATGGCGTTTATTTATTTTATTCAATCAGTCTCATATTTTTTAAAAAAAATTTACGTTCGGTGATGGACGATCATAGATGCAGAGATGCAGAGCAATATTTCAACATTTTTAGAAATCTGGAATTAATTGCAAAATTAATTGCCAGGATCCTCGTTCATAATGAAGTTCATGCAGCAATTACAATTTTACCAGACAACTGGAAGAAAAATCGCGAGCTAGTTAGTCTTGGTTTTTTCAATCTACCTATTTTTAATAAGCTGCTTGTATTTACGTTGCTTGTCGGTAAGGTCGAAGGTTGGAAGCCTTATGCAAATCATTCTCTATTGTTCTACAATTGTTTATTTGACTAATTTTATAGACAGCGTTAATTATTTAAAAAAATTTAATACAAGAGAAAATTTTTTTCGATCATTGGTAAAAATCGATCATGATTTTGTGTCTTGTAATGTGACTATTAACTACCATGCTGTTTTTAGCCCGAAATTTGTGGAAAAAAACCTCTGAACTGAAATTGAGCTAATTGAACTAAATTAAACTGATCAACCCCATCAAATTAAACTTAATTGTTTTATGTTTCAAATCTGCGAAACTCTGCAAAACGAGGAAGTTTCACAGCATAAAGAATGGATAGTTGACATTGAGGAACTCCGTGGAGCATGATGTAGAGCGCTGGATCCTCGACACACTCATACATCTCACCGGGAATAACAACTTAACCACATTCCTCGCTCGCGTTAAACGTTATTCATTCAACGCACGCACTAAAAGCGTCACTCCCACGTATAAACTAGGTCTAAGCAATCATTTCATGTTTTATTCTTTTTATTCTTTAATTCCGTTTTTGAATTTCATATAAATTTCAAAAGTTTATCTGTGAAATTAACAACATTGTCATTCTGAATATAATTCAAAGTCGTAAAATTGAGATGAATGAAATTTTGTCGTGCAGTGCTGTAGCCAGAAATTTGTTTTTGATGAGAGCCTGAGTTTTTGAAAAAAAAATTGTACCCATTTTTCAGTGTTTTTCAAGAAAATTAACCAAATGTTACTGTCGTTGTAAGGATTGACACAATTTCTAGTTGAAATTTATATAGAGTTGTTCTTAAATATAACCTTAGCCCTAACTGCAATTTTTATTGTGGGTAGCTTCTGTCCCAAAGCTTTCCCAACTTGCTTAATGCTCCTGTTTCTATGAAACTTTGATGTGAAGAAAAGACGGAAAAATTTGCCAGTTAGCAGATTAAATTAAACCAAACTAAATTACAAAATTTAAATAGTTCAAACAGTAATTCAATCTTTGGTATGAATATTACCATAAAAAAAATTTGTACATATTTATGATGATCAAAACTGATATGGCTAACACAATTCAAAAATGTTTGAGGTGGACCTTGAAGGATGTCTGTTTGAAGATTAGAATCAATCAATTATCAAATTATACCGTGCATTTCTACAACGCAATGACACTCTAGCTTGTACATGTTACATTGACATCGCTAAAGATTTTCATCTGATTGAACCAAATAAAAGTTTAAAATAAAAATTAAGGTGGAAAAGTGAACCGATTTTAGTATAGCTAAATGCATAACTTTCTTGGGGTTTTCTTTGTCTGTATTCACCTAACACTTTGTAACTTACAGGGTTAGGTCACGAGTCACAAACATATCTGGTGCTAATCCTTAAATGTATGTGTGTATCTCTCTTTCTGTGTCTGTGTCTGTGTATGTCTGCAAGCGAGTGAGCAAAAAATATTGTAAGTTATTACCTTATTACCATCCGACATAGGTAATTTGTAACGCTAATGGTTACCGAAAGAGTCACAAATACTCACGTTACTCGCATATTAGCCTAGTGTATCACTTCTCGCTCGTTAAATCAGTTAACTACCATTCTATATACGTGTTTGTAGCAAATATAAGTTTATGCAACATTCACAATTGCACGATATACATATTCTCCCATTGTACCACATACCTCTCAGGTCATGGTTGTTTCTACGCTTCTAATCAATAGATAAAAGATAAAAACAATTGTACGCAGCAAAGTCCACTTTTAAATTGGTGTAAATAGAACTTCACTGAAATGTGAAATCGAAATCAAAAATGATAATTTCTTACGATTTATACAATGCCTCGTTCGTTTTACATAATTTGTTTAATTAGTGTAGCAGTTCTAAACAGGAGTTTAGTTTCAGTTGCAGGTGTCACTTTGAACTTAGGGGGCAATGATTGGAGGTTGGAACAAGAAAGTGCTGGCAGCACCACCTCCAACATTTCAGGTAAGTTAATAAGTTTTGTTTCTGTGTTAATAAATTACATTGCAGTTGTTTGTTTTCAAATTAGAATTTAATATTAAATTCCTTTTAAAATTTATGTTCAACTTCTTAACTTTACATTAGAATTAAAATTTGTCTATTAATTAATCATTAATTATTTAGAATTTTAAATAGAATAAAATAAAAACAAGAAATTAAGTGCTGATTGAGATTGATTATTGATCATTCAAAATTTTAATTTATTAAAACAAAAGTTATTTGAATTTTATTTAATTGAAATAAAAACTAAGTGTCAGCAAAAGTGCCAGGTGAAGTTCACCTAGCTCTATTTGAACATGGCCTCATTGAGGATCCACTCTACAGGTACAATGATGTGGAGAACAAATGGGTGGCATGGAGTAATTGGACTTATTCTAAACAATTTAATGGTTTGGTGTGTTAATACATTGTACTTAAACTCTATTACTTTTAAGCTTTTATCTTCTTTGATTTAAATTCACACTCACACATATATATATATGTGTGTTTACTTAGTTGCCTGACATATCGTTATCAGCTTATTTTTGTTGAAAGTTAAACAATTTAGATAGATGATAATATATTTCAAAAATGAGTCAAGATGATTGACTTGGTTAAGATGTTGTAATAGTTGCTATCTTTATCTCAACATCACTCAATTTTAGTCAGAAGTTTAAATTTGAATTTGTGATAAAGATGTATTCAATTAAAGATGTAATTATTACTAACAAAATTAAAAAAATAACAGTATCAAATGAAGACCTAAAAAGTCAGCAAGTTGATTTGGTGTTGGAAGGGTTTGATACAGTGGCAGAAGTTTTTCTAAATGGACAGAGAATTGGCACGACACGAAATATGTTCAGAAGATATGTTTTCAATGTGAAACATTTGTTGAGGGTGGGTAAAATATTTTTCTTCAAACTTTTGTTTCTTATGCTTATCTCTGTTTCATCCTGCTCATTGTGGCATATTACAAACAATTGACTGTGAACATTCTTTAGATGTTGTATGATGATAGTTTACAAAACATTACAATAGAAATTAAATCTTGAAATGACTTTGTTAGCATAAATCTTAATTGTTAAAAGTTGTTCAACCCATATAAGATTTATTATGTTTAATTATATTAACCATTCAACACGAGAATGATGGGTTATGACATAAAAGCCAAATATTTTCCCACCAGTCGTCGACATGTAACTTGCTGGCCATCAAGTTTGTATCTCCAGTTTGGTACGCCCGCCAAGAGGCAATTAACTACCCTTACAGAGTGCCACCTGAATGTCCACCTGATGTCCAACATGGTGAGTGTTCGTACAATTTCATCAGGAAGGCTGCTTATTCGTTTAGTTGGGACTGGGGACCTTCGTACCCTTCTCTTGGTGTTTGGTTGGTTGGTTGGTTGGTTGGTTGGTTGGTTGGTCGGTTGGTCGGTTGGTCGGTTGGTTGGTTGGTTGACCAGCTGGTTTGTATGGTGGTTGACCAGTTGGTTGACCAGCTAGCTGATTGGTTGGGAATGTTCATTCTGTTTATTGGTTTTGTTGGTGGATTTTTAACAAATTACTTTGAATTAACAATTTTTTAGTTAACATTTAATTTGTTTTAAGTTTTTAAGAAAAATATGATCATGTTTTTAAATGTGTTGAAGGAAGAATTTGTACCTGAACATGTTTGATTATGCATCTCTAGAATATGTTACCTGTGAAACTGTAGTAGGTTTGTGCAATTGTTATAAATTTATTTTTCTGTGAATTTTTGTGTAAAAGATAATAAAATTTTGTTTGTTTAGAATTTTTTGTTCACCATAATGTATCACTTCATCTGATTTAAATTGATTCTTCCTTATAACATTTTTCAAAATAATGTTTTCAAGATAATAACAATTGGAGATTGCAAATCAGTACATTTCTGCTGGTTTCTGGTCAGTCATTTGGCAAATCATTGAAAGTGATTGTTTCAATCTCTCAACTTAATGTCACTTATGAAGAAATTGTCGTTCTGAGAGCTATCCATCAAAAACATGATGTCAACTTATACTTTGTTAGTTTCTGCTTACTTATATTTAAATATTTAACATTTCAAGTTTTCTAGATTACAAAATTTTTGTATCTATTATTTTTTGATTTGTTTAATAAATTCAATTTTTTCTCAAAAAATTTTTTTCAAAAGAACTCCTCATCGATAAAAATGTGGTGGCCTTATGGCATGGGCGATCAGGTGTTGTACGCTGTCGTCGTCCGACTGGTGGTAGAATATCCTCAGTTGTTTGAGCTTGGTAAGAACATTTACGGAGCATATTTTATTGTTTTGAATTGTTCACGCAAGAAATTATATTTCATTTGTTGCGATATTTTCAATGAGTTTGAGTTCTATAAGGTTAATTTATTTTTAATTTTTCATTCTTAAACATTACATCATTAAACTTATCTTACACAAACTGAACTAATATCATCCAAACTGAGACTGCATTAAACGCAAATTAAATATTTTAAAGGTCAGTCAGTTGTTCATAAGGAAGGTGATCATGAACCTGACCTTGAACTTGACCTCCAGTCTCACTTTGAACTTGACAGCAAGATGATACGTATTGGGTTCAGGACTGTTGATTTGGTGCAAGATTATGTTCAAGAGGACAATGGTTGGATGGACTTCTTTTTTCAAATATGGAAACATTTTTTAAAAATAGTTTTTAAATTATGCAAAATTTCATTTGGTTTAAACTGCACATTGTCATTATTAATTTTAAAAATAAATAAAATAATCATACATTTTAAACAACTGTACTAAGAGTGATAATGACAATACATTCGTCATACAATTTCCATGCCAGTAATTTTTTATTTACATTCTATTATTTTATCTTATTGCCTATTATTTTCTAAAAAATTTTTTTTTGTGTTTTCTTATTTTTTCTTATTTTTTTACATCATTTCACGAATCTTACCATATTTTTCAGGTTTGACATTTTACTTCTCCATCAATAATCAGCCCCTGTTTTTGAAAGGTTCCAATTGGATACCAATGACAAACTTCCTGACCAATCAAACATCAGATGAAGCTGATTGGCTGCTGAGGTCGGCCATCGAAGTTAATATGAATGTGTTGAGAGTCTGGGGCGGAGGGGTTAGAAATGTTTTGCTGTCATTCAGCTGATCGTCATTGTCAATTAAGTTTTTGAAATTAGTTATAAACCACTTATCAATATTTTACGTTGTTGACTGATTGAATAATTGACTAATTGTTAGGTTCACAAATTTCTATTTACTCTTTTTCGTTCATTTTATGAGTGTTTAATTGATGAAATGGTTAATTGCTTAATTAAATTGATTGTTTTGTGCCTGTTGTCTGCTTGATTTGCATTAAAACTTCAACTTTGAAAATTACAACATAGGTCTACGAAACTGATGAGTTTTACCAGAGGGCTGATGAATTGGGTATTGCTTTAATTGTGTTTATATTACAAATATTTGTAAAAAATAATAATATATCGTTTTAGTTATTCGCAGTTTTGTGATTGAGCTTGTTTTGAAAAAAGCAGGAAAATAATGTTTTGCGTAACAACGCCAGGCATTTTGATATGGCAAGATTTCATGTTTGCGTGTGCCCTTTACCCTACCAACCGGATGTTTCTCGATGACGTCAGACTGGAGACTATACATCAAGTAGTTCCCTAATTTCAGAATGCACCTTGTTCAATTTTGTATTTCAATGTTACAAATTTTCTTTCAAATATTGAAATGTTGGTAAATGGATTATTGCAAGGTTCGCCGACTGAAGCATCATCCATCCATCATCATCTGGTCAGGCAACAATGAAAATGAAGGCGTTCTTGCTAACAATTGGTTGGTTGATTGGTTTGTTGGTCGGTTGGTTAGTTGTTTATTCGATCGACTGGTTGGCTGGCTGGCTTTTATCAGTAAAATTCACAATAGGATTCATACCTATAATTGAATAGAATCGATTAACGCCAAGCAATGTTTCTTTTTTATTGGCACTTGAAGTTAAATATTCATTAATTATTTATTTTCATTTTCAATTTGTTTCTCAGCATTAGTGAATAACCGAACAACCTGTTTAAAATTATTTCTCAAAATTGAAGGTATGGAATTTCTGACGAGGACTTCCCGATGTACAAATCCGATTATGTGAAGTTGTACGTTGACGTCATTCGTGACGTGATATTGCATGAAGACATGAGCAGGCCGTACATTTCATCCAGTCCCACCAACGGACTGCAAACCATGAAGGAAGGCTGGGTGTCCAAGAATCCACAGGACGTCAGGTTTGGGGACAGTTAGTTATGATGGAGACAGAAATAAATTTTGAAGTTTGCATGTGAAAAAGTTTAATTTAAAGTAACGTAACTTGTCGGGAAATAATATAGGGATGGTTTATAACAAAATAAAATGTGAAAATATCGCTTGCTTCACGTGAAGTTCATTTCTACAACTACACAATGGACGGATGGCAGCCTGCCTTCTACCTGAAACCTCGCATGGCATCCGAGTTTGGATTTCAGTCATGGAGTTCCGCCGAGAGTTTGTTGGACGTGTCAAGACCGAAAGATGATTGGAAATTGATGGGGGAGTTCGCTCTGCACAGGCAACACCATTCCAACGGTTAGTTAATGCTCAACAGGATTGTGAAGTTCAATTAAAATTTGGTTTATATCACACAAGCTCTCATTTCTGCGAAAACGTCGTAGATGTTATTTCTTTTATTTTATTTCACAGGGGAAAAAGAAATATTTTATGAAATAAATCAGCACATGGAATTCAACCTAACTTCCAAAAACGACACAGAACATTTTATTCATTATGTCTACCTTAGTCAAGTAATGATGTGATACCTCAATGCTATGTTGCACCATTCATTCTTATGTAACACATTCTTATATAACACATCATTTAGTGTTACTGTTAAATGAATGAAATGTTAATATCATCCTTCTTAACAACTATCAATCACGATTCTAACGTTTATTTATAATCATGCCGAGTGAGTGGATCATCGTAAGAAAATTTCAACACCAGATCAACCAAGCGATGAGTGTGAGAGCGCAGGTTGAACATTACAGGAGGAGTGCATGTCGTATTCATCTTCATCGTTCGGCACACGGTACGATTGAGTTCGCTGATAATATTAACTATAATGAGGAAAATGATGATGATGGTTCTTGATGGAGATGATGATTACGATGGTGAAGATGATGATTACGATGGTGAAGATGATGCTAATGATCTTTACAATCTGCTTTAAAATATGTTGATATATAAATTATTTAAAAGAAACACTTAAAAGCATGCAATATTATCAAACGGAAATTTTTTTTCTTAATGGCATAACATCTTTGGAGTAACTAAAAAGTGAATCACCTTCTTGCTTAGTTGGCCTGTGTGGCGATGGTGGAACTATGGGAGCACTGTATTGGCAGTTGAATGACGTCTGGCAAGCACCAACCTGGTCATCTATCGGTCTGTAGTAGTCGAATGCTTTCACTTCATTGGATGGCACTGCTGCATCCTTTAATCTTTTTGTCTCGTTTATCCATTTATGTTGTTTTTTTTAAATGTTTTATATTTAGTGTCGTGTAATTTTATTTTGTTTTTATTATAACACATTGTATTACGTTTGATCACGTTACGCTGTGTTATGTTAAGATTAGAATGATGAGGTTAGGATGATGGTGACATTTGTAGGTACAATGGTGATATAATTCAATCTCGCAACAGAGCATAATGGAAAGTGGAAACTCCTTCATTATTATGCCAGGCATTTTTTCAGCAGCTATCTCATCTCGCCTGTAATTAGCGAAGAAGTCCTGAATGAAAATGGCAAGAAAGATGATGTTATCCAGTTTTACTCCATTATCGACCACATGTATTTAGATGAGGTTCTGCACAACAGTTCAAATCTTACCTTAACAGTGTCTTGCTACCAGATTGAACTATTTTACGTTGCAAAAATTTGGACCTTTCCATACGATCAAGTTTTTATTAGAAATTTTTTAAGTTTTTTTTTATGCTAACGTTTAAAAATAAATAAATAATAAATTAATAGAAGATATTGATTTTATTTTGACAGCCACTAAACGTCTTTGTAACGGTATTTATTTTAAAAATATTTTTTAGAAAACATCCCACAAAATAGTTCACCAAATAGCGTTGAAAGAAATGCTGAATGTCTGCCGCTGCAAAAGTACAAGACATTGTTTCCTCAAAACGAATTTGATAACAAATATTGCACCTGGCACTTTGTACGAAAATTTCTTTTTGCTTGATTCTTACATAGATTACAAACTCCTCCCATTAACGAAAGTTTTCGTGAGTGTTAACAATTTTTTGTAATAAATTTATGGTTTTATTTTCTAAATGTTGTTTAATTTATTGTGTGAATTTATTATTAATGGTCATAAGTTTTTGTGCGTAACTGTTATAGAATTATTATGCGTTGTGCAATAAATCAGAACCTTAATATGAATTATTTTAGTTGTTCATTTATTCAACTATTTAGGTCAAACAAGTGAAATTACTGCATACAAATAAGGTGGAAATCATTATAGAGACAAATCATTTTGTGTTTTTCGTTTGGCTGGAAGCAATAGGTTTCGAAGGTGTCTTCTCAGACAATGGTTTCTTGATGACAGAGAAGATGAAAATTGTGACTTACCACTCTCGTCGTGTCATCAAAAATATCGACTCTTTTCGAAATAGTTTTAGAATTACTAACTTATATGATGTTTACTCAATTTGACTAGATGAAACAAAAGTTTCATAAAGATTTTGTTTTTAATGGCAAAAATACAAATGTCGAATTTTATTAAAACTGTTTCTAATATTTTCGCATACTATAAAGTAAGTAATACATACGTACATACCGTTAAATTTAAGCAGGAAATTTCCTTTTATACATATTTTGTTGAATTTGAAGTTACCCGACGTCACGATTTTATATCAATTTTGTCCAACATTCTTAACAACTTCTCATGTTCGTTATTAAAATCGGGAATAAAATTTCTAAATCATTTTTTAAATTAATCTACTAGCCAACGTTCGTTACTCCTATTGTTTATACTACTGATTCTGCAGTAGAGTCCCAAGCAGAGAAAATTTTTCTAAATTGCAACCGACCGCATCCGCAAAGTTCACGTCCACAACTATCCGCACTGCTCATTATCCGTAAAATTCAACTCAATGATTTTTTGTTTTTAAATTTTATTGAAGCAATTTAAAAATTTAAATGTTAAAAACAAATTATTATAAGTCTTAAAACATTTGCCAGAAATTATTATAAGCCTTAAAACATATGTCATAACTCATAGGGTAAACTTCTATAATTATATCGTCCAGCCGCTTCCAACATTCAATCAACTTTTTAATTTCTAATATCACATGCACTCCTTAGAAGTTCTCGAAGGATAATAATCCACGTAACATGAACATTTTGTAAGAACAGTTCACAACATATCGTAATGGCTATATCAACATACCAAACAGAAATTATTTATACATTCATACATAGCATAAAAAGTAAATCAAAAAATACCAAAAATTGTATAACCAAATTAAAAAAACTAGAAACCAGTCAACATTTAATAATTATAGACATTTTTGAAAACACTGTTCAAAAAAGTTAAATTTAAGGCGACGACGAAAAAAAATTTAGTATGTTTTGTTGGCGTGGTGGTGTGAAGCAAAAACAAACACATAACAAAAAAATAGTAAGAAGTCGTAAGAATAGTAGTCAGTCACCTACCTACAATAAAATTACTCTCAGGGCCCTAGCTTACCAATAATGATTAACTCATCTCACCTACCTACAAAATTGTATTTCTAAGGTTTAGGAATTTTGCATGTTTCAGGTATTGTATTTTACATATTTTAACGTTTTTAATTTATCTTTTTTGAATAATTTAATTTTTTTTTAATTTTTTTAGAAACTTTTTAACTAATGTTAAGATCTAGCCTAATTACGATTGTGCAATTCATCTCGCAATCCCTAACTTACCTAAGAATTAAATTAAAATCCGGTAAAGAAAATAGCAAGTTGAAGAGAAACATAACAACAACGACAACACCGAAAAATGGATGTTGTGTATGTGTGTGTTGTATTGATGTGTGTGTGTGTGAATGTGCGCGTGTGTGTAAATGTGCGCGTGTGTACTCTCCAGAAACTTCTTCACTACGGACGAACCTCCATCATCTGACATGCATCGTTAATTTGACCGGATACTGAAAAACACTAAACCTGAAAAAAAAATTAATTTTTAAAATAAAAACCAAGCCATTGGAAAAAGCAATAGGCAACTTATCTTATTGGGATAACAATTCACCCCAATCAGTCCAAAACATTCCAATTCTTCGTTCGAATTCGAGTACTTTCTAAGGTACGAAGACAAAAAATTTCTGTTAATTATTATTATTGTTGTTGTATTCATCGGAACGGTCATCATGAGACCACCATTTGAAACGTGCTGACGCTGTCGGATTGTAATCCTAACGACTAAAAACTAACAATCTTCAATAATAAATAAAACACCACGAGCTAACGAAGTGATTTGTGCTGGCTATATAAGAAACTGCGATAACTATTCTTATGGCTATTCGGGCTGCTGATGAGTCCCCGGTAGGAACGAAACACGTGTCCAGCCTATCCAAACAAATACTATTCTTTTCTTCTTCCGCTCACTGCTCTTCCTTGTTTGGTGTTCTCTCATACAAAAGCGTAACCGCAACAAATTGGTTACCCCGACGTGATCAAAGAAACAAGCAACGAGAGTTCCCACTCCAACGCGAATCTTTCTTCGATACAACAGTACAGGATTGATCCCGGCAATTCAACCTCATCCATCACGTTCGCCAACACATACGCGATGATCTCGTGGGGGAGATTGTCGGATTGAAATCCTAACGACTAAAAACTAACAATCTTCAATAATAAATAAAACACCACGAGCTAACGAAGTGATCTGTGCGGGCTACATTAAAAACTGCGATAAATATTCTGACGGGTATTCGGCTGCTGGCTGATGAGTCTCCGGTAGGGACGAAACACGTGTCCAGCCTATCCAAACGAATACCATTCTTTTCTTCTTCCGCTCACTGGCCTTCCTGGTTCGGTGTTCTCTCAAACATAAGCGCAATCGCAACAACGCCCACCACAGCCCACCTGTCGTCATTCTGTAGACAAGTTTTCAATTAGCGTAGTAGTAAATCAAGGAACTAATGAACGAACGATCAAATGATAAAGTGAATGATTAGTTGAATGAATTAATTAATTAATCAATGATTTAATGCATGAAAAGAATGAATTTACGAATCAATTAATGGAAGAATAATTTGAAAGCTTGAGTGATAAAATGAACGAATGAACGAATGAGAAAAATAAAAAAAACTAGACTAAACCTTCAAAAATCACCGTTACTGTAATCCATTGCACCGACGACCACCATCAGATCAGCAGGCAAACAGGTAGCCAGCCCACTTGATCACCGCCCCTTCTTCTGGCACATCCCTTGTTTTGTTTTTAATAATTTGACTCTTTCGCTATTTCACTTACGTGTCGTTTTTTTTTGTCGCAGTAAGTTTTTTAAATTATTTGCTTTCTTAAATTGATTTTTTGGCAAAAGTATACTTTTTTTTACTAAATACACATGCAATTAATTATGTGAGATAAGTATGGAAAAGAGATGAGGAAGTCAATAGTAAACTTAAGACTTAAAAGTTAATAAATAAATAAAGAAAATATGCACTGAAAAATATAAGGTTAATCGTTAATTAATCTTCTTAATATATGGTTAATCATTGTTAATCATTAATGATTAATAATAATACTAATAAATAAAATTTGCAATGTGTCAGCTATCACTCAGAGTTAGGATTAGATCCGGGTTAAAGTTGGTGAAAGTTTCAGTTTCTTAAACTGTTTTTTTCAGGGCCACTAATCACTAATGGTTCTAATCTAATCACTAATGGACTAATCAGAATCACACTTATAACTTGTAACTACTCAAACTTTACTAGTGATTTAGTTATTTTTTTTATTTTCTGTATACTTTTTGACATTCAAAGTTAATATTTTATCTAAAATTATAAACAGAGTATATTAAATTATATTATCATAATATAATATAATTTAATATACTTAATAATATTATTATGTTAATTAAAGTATATTATAAGTGGTGACATCAATCAATCATCGTTTATAGTCTCTATCCGTTATGGGTTGGACTCTTTCCATTCATTAGTTTCTGTCTCCAAGCCGATCTATCCATTGCATCTGGACCTCTTGGTGCTTAGTAACAGAAATTATCGTATAGTTTTCGCTTCACATCCGTCATAGGCATTGATGACGACATGCATCCTTTAATGTGCACAGTCTGATCTTTACAGGATCTCGGTTGTATGGATATGGTTCCTTAGGTCAACATGCTGCATCCAATGAATCATCTTATGTCAGTTCGGTGAAGCTGCTGTTTGAGTTTTTTTGTCATTGGCCACGTCTCTGCACAATACATTAGAACAGAATGTATAGCTGTGTTGTATAGTTCTACAACACATCAGTACTGAGGCATGAAGCTGCCATCTGCCCCACACCGCACGTATGCATCCATGAACTGCAACATCAGCTGTTTCACTACAATCCAGCCTTTTTCCCAAATACTGAAATGAAGTAACAGTTTCGATCCTGGTAATCGTATCATTATCTGGGCTTCGCTGCCGCGGGTTGATGCAGGCGGGGATACAAAATCAGTCACTTGCCTCACTGAGTCAGTAATTCTTGAGCATGTCTTTGACACCATTGCTGACATCATAGGCATTTGATCGAATTACTTCCAACTCCAGCCCCACACACCGAACACAGCCAATGACCAGAGGACATAATATAACATAATATAACTTACCGAACATAGCTAAGCCTTTTAAATAAACATCATCACCAGTCCATTTGCGAACCACAACTAATATTTAAAAAATTGAATTTAGTAATTTTAACATAATGTGGTCTTAATAAATTTTTAGACAGTAAGATTCTCTATTAGAAATTTACTTTTGAGCATTGCATGTCAATCTCTATTTGTGATGTTTTTAAACACTCTCACAATCATCTGTAATTGCATGTGACATCAAGTGATTCGTTAAACAATGAATTACTATGGAAATACTTAAGTTTATAAAAGTCAAAGTTTAATTTAAATAGGTTGATTTTATTTATAAACTTGACAATGAAATTTATTTTTAAAAATTTATTTCTAATTTTTTAACAATTATTTTTCAGATAACTTTCCTCGATGCCATTAAGTATTCAGCATTTAAATGAACAACAGCCATAGATCTGCTTGTAAGAAATTAAAGATGGACAATGGCGATTGTCATTTATCTGTTGGCTGCTATGATGGCCAGACAAGTCAATCTGAGTTTAATATCAATTGTGAACTTGAAAAAAATCCAGACCACTCAATTAGAATAATGCAAGGTTTAAATAAATTGAAGAGAGAAAAGGTTTTGTGTGATGTTACCCTGATAGCTGAAGGTGTGTCTTCTATATAATATATACACTTAATTTCATAAATCTGTTCAGTTCCAATTTTCAACTTTGCACATTTTCATAAAATTTATTTTTTCCAGTAAAATTACCAATATTATGTGCGTAAATAATTGTAAAAACGATATTGCATTTCCTTGTTTGTTAACTTGAAAGTTTCAGACAGTTATCACAATTTGTTTACCTAATTATTATTGACTTGCTGTTAAATTAAAGCAAAACTACGTTACTATTTTGAATGTTTGAGCTAAAAATTTTAACATATCTTCTTCCTATTCATTATTTTGATAGCAACCACTTGAAAGTTAAGTCATATATACAACTGTTTTTGCATTGTTATGAAATCTTCATTCAGATGCCACTAACTAACTGCATATAATGCTGTTCAAATATTATATTATTATTATTGTTATTCTCCATTCTTTCATTGAAATGTTTTTTGGATTTTGAAACAATCCAGGTGAAAGATTTGAAGTCCACAAAATCATCTTAGTCTCATGTTCCGATTATTTCAGATCCATGTTCACGAGTGGCATGAAGGAATGCACACAGAAAGAGATTGAGTTAAAAGGTATTACCAGCAAAGGTCTTGAAAAAGTTCTTGAAATAATTTACACATCGACTACATATTTGGAAGGGGATGATATTTTTGATGTCATTGCTGCTGCTACTCATCTGCAGGTCTGCTCCTGTCTGCTGACACCTCTACTATGATAGATCTTTATTTTGTCAAATGTTTTCATGCTCGATATATTAAAAATATATTTTACTTAATGCTCTCTGTTGAATGCTCCGTTTTCTCAACTGAATATTCATAGGTCACTCCCGTAATAGAATTCTGTGAGCGAAACTTTCTAAGTGGAATGACGACAAGCAATTACTACGATTTCATCAACACTGCACGACTCTACAGCATGTCAAGTGCTCTAAGGCAGATTGACACATTCATCTGCAAAAATTTATTGCAAATATCAAAAGATGGTACACTACACCTGCTGACTTATGAACAAATAAATGCCTGTCTTAACTATGGGTCTCTTAGCTTAAAAGAAATTGACATATTTCAGGTCTGTTTAACTGTTTTTTCTGCTTTTAGTTTTTTTCTTCAACATTTTTTTATTTGGGAAAATTTTCATCTCTCTTCAATTAATTATTGTTTTTTGTTTTGAGTTTATAATACATTTTATTGAACTCTATGTTAATTTTTCTTTTGGATGTATTTATAATGTAGCTGTTAACTATTGAACAAGAACCTTTGAGAATAACAAAAAAAAAACCATAAACATTCATATTTAACTTGTTAACAAAAATTATGATATACTGAATGATTTCTGAGCATATGAACTCTGCAGGTTGTTTGGGATTGGTTGAAGCTCGATTCAGCCCAAGATTTGCATTCAATTCCTCTGATGAAATGCATTAGGCATGTTCAATTACTTTAAGTCAATCAGTTACTTACTGCTTTAACATATTCTTTAAAATTTAATTTTTTAAACTCTTCATTCAAGGTTCCCATTAATATGTCCAGATGATTTAGTCAACAAGGTTCAAGCTGTAGATATCATGATGAAACATGTAGAGTTAAGAGACATGGTGGTATGGGCACTGAATTACCATGTTGTGCCTCACTCCCAGCCAATCAAAGCTAATCCATCCATTACAACTCTGCGCACATATTCTGAACGTTTGGTCAGTATCGGTGGCAGGGAAATACATCCCAATCCCGGTCTGCACGATGAAATATGGGCTGTCAACGATGACGTGATCAATCCTTCAACATTGCTGAACTGTCGACGTAGAATTACAACATTACCAACTCCTTTGAGTCACATGCAAGTTGTAGCATTCAATGATTTTCTTTACGTCATAGGTGGTTGCACAACTCAGTGTGCCCACGGGGAGTCTGCTGTCAATTCAGTGGTTCGTTATGATCCACGGTTCAACGTGTGGTTTCAAGTTGGTCACATTTTTCACTTAATATCTCAACATTTTTCCCTTTTTGTGATCATTGCTCTATTTTCACTTAAAGGTCGCTAACATGATAAACAAGCGAGCTTACTTCTATGCCGGTTTGTTAAAGAATCGAATCATTGCTGTAGGAGGCAAGTTCAAAGAAGGGAGCTTGTCAGCAGTTGAACTATATGACCCAGAACGTAATGTTTGGGTGCAGGGACCGAGTCTTCCTTTTTGTTACCATGCTCACGCCGGGGCCGTTCATAAAGGAAGGGTCTACGTGTCAGGGGGTTATAGTTCTAATCATTTTACTCCAGACTTACTGAGATTGGACGTCTTTACTGGGTATGTTTTTTTGTTACACAGAATTTTGTAATTCTCATTATATAATTGTGTATTTATACAATGTGTTTCTTGAGATTGTTAACTATCTTTGATATGAAACAACTGTCTTCTAGAATTGAAAGTTAATTCCATATTTCAAAAAAACATTTGCCATGATTAGATTTTTGTTGCTAATTTTTACAAACTATATTTTTATTTTGCTGAAGCAAGGGTTGTTATTTTTAATAATTTATTTTTTCAATTATTACATGACAATAATGTTTTCGGTTTAGTAATTTTTCTTTTTTTCATTTGAAGAGTCTGGGATGAATTGTCACCAATGTCTTATCCTAGAGGCTGGCACGTGATGTGCGTTGTTCGAGATCGCATTCTTGTTTTTGGAGGCTGCAATTTGAATGCGAACCAACACGCACTCCCCGTTATGCAGTCAGAAAGCTATGATCCTGATATTGATCAGTGGACTAACATCACGCCTCTCTCTGTCTCACATAAAGAAGCCAGCTGCGTGTTATACCGAGATAAGGTGTATGTTTTGGGAGGCTACAACGTGCAAACAAAGACTGGACAGAAGTCTGTGTCGAGGTATGATCCTTATTCAGCCGTTTGGGAGTGCGTAGGATCTTTGTCTCAAAGTCACACTGGCGTTGGTTACTGCGTACTTAAACTGCCAAAATTTGAAAATCATCCGCTTGATTAGTAGAGCTAGTAAGTAACATGCATGATTTGAAATGTTTTCTTTTATATTCTGCGAATATTTAGCCATCATCAATTGTTGTGTCGGCCAGTTTTTACTATTCAATGGTTTTAATCATCATGCAACCCTCCTGATTGAAGGATATTCCAATGTCCTTGCATGCTCATTGTACTGCAGTAACTATTGTTGATTGTTGATGTTCATCAAAATCTAAATTTTTGTATTTGGTTTATGAAATATTTCTAATTATAATGTTGTGTATGTAAAATAAATTAGAAACTACTTCTCCACTCTTTCTTTTGTTCTAAAAATATATTTTCATGTTGTTTAACGTTCACAAACAGTACGCTAGAAATTGTTTTCAACTTAGTTTTATGGTTTTATTTTGATGTAATTAATTTTGTGAGCTTTTTTGGTTTGGGGAGTTGTTTGCGGTCGAGCAGTTTTATAAGACAATTTTTGACTGCTTGTGACCTAACATGCTCTCTTCAAGACATTCAAAAAATTTTGTTTTTACGGTTTTGGCGGCCTGTTGGTGTATAAAAGAGTTAAATGAAATAAGGTAAGTTGATCTGTAGAATTATTTCAATTACGGGTATAAATATTTTCTGTGTATTTTAAATATACGATCAAACTACTACATCCAACTTACAGTCTATATGTATAAAGGTTAAAGGTTACTGTCTCTCTTGCGTTAGCTTCAGAGGTTTCAACGACAAACACACAGCGTATATGAATACGCGTGCAAACCACGCATCATACTGCATATGATAGGCGGGGATCTCTTTGTATTCGAACCCAGTCATTGCAATAGCAAGACCAGGCGCCTTTAACCATTGAGCCATCACGCCGCCCATGAGTAATTGCTAAACAAGAAATAAAACCATTACAAGTTCAAAAACTGGTATTTTTGATTTGACTCACTTCTTTCAATGTCTACATCTTAAAAAATGTAATTATATAACTTTTGCTGCGTTCTGATGAATGTTAGTACTCTTCACCAGCCTGTAAAATGTGCAAGGACGGCGGTTTATTGAACAGTGCGTAGAGTATTATCATTTTGATATATATATATATATTAAATTATATATATATATATATGTATTAAATTATTTATATATATATATATATATATATTAAATTATATATATATATATATATACATTACCGCTATCAACATGCGTTTGTTTGTCTGCGTGCTTTTAATTCTATTTTCCACGCATATATCTTTAATTCGTTCGTAAAACCATTCTCAAAGTCATCTTAATTTTTTCAGTGCCGTCTTCAAGTTCTCTTCAGATAAGTAACCAAAATTGCAAATTCGCACAGCGTAAAACTCCATACACGCGGTACTTTTTTCTCTTAAAGTTGAAACTTTTGGTGTTTTTTATCTCTTAATTTTACTCGTGATGTTTAAATTTTGAACTTAAGATTTTTATCTAATCTTCAACTTGATATTCAAGGTCATCGTTCAGTTGGCTGAAAATATTCATAATTTCAAAACACCTTATATAACACCTTGTTACCTTATATACATTTTTAAACTGTTGCACGAAAACTGCTGATGAAGTTCAAGTTTCAAATTTGGAACTGAAGTGCTTCAACTTCTATATGAGATCAATCAGCAAGCAGTGTTAGCTAACAAATTAAAGAAACTCTTTATTCTGGCCCAATATCAATAATTCTGATAAGCTATATATTTAATAAATGGTAATATATATTTATATTTTTCTTTATTATGTATGTATATATATAATTTTCAATCGTTTCAAAATCCCTTTCTTTATATGATTTTAAATAATGAATATTGCTTATATAATGAAGTTGAAACATTGCTATGTATATTCTGTTTTTTTTTCAAATTAAATGACAGTTGCATTGTGTTTGATGAAAATTCGCTTACGGTGATTAGTTAAGTGTTAGTTTTTTTTATATTACTTGTTGTTATACGTCCAATATGTAGTAGTGCATGTACGTACACACACACAAACACACATAATAAACACACACAGAATATAAACGTAAGAATTATGAAAATTTAATAATTTTTTAACTTCAGTAATGAATCAATTGACATGACAAAACACACAATTGAAGCAAATGAAAAATTGCATATTGAAGCAATATTGATGAAAAATAGAAGAATTTAGCTGAAAATAGTTTGAAATTTAAAAATATAAGTATAAAGAAATGTAACAAAAAAAATGCAGGAAAAAGATAATATATACATAAAAATCAATAATAATCGTAACAAAGTTAATTAAACATGTGTGTTTTATTATTTTCTAGTGGAAAGATAAATAATGCAACATGCAGGACGAATAATGGTGTGATTGCACTTATGAAAACGAAATTATTTTAGGTAATTTAAATCCTAATTTTCTGAAATTTTTGCATAAAAGATGGCAGAAAAAAAATTATTTAATAAATTAAAATCATTATGCATAAAATTGAGAAAAAACATCAATATTCAACAATAGTTATATACATATATTTATTTTTATTTATTTATATATTTATGTACACACAACGCTTATGAACATGAGAATGTAAATATTCAAAATATATTCGATTTACATCCAGTGACATTTATATTAATACAATTCATATTTTAAAAAATGAAAAATATTTTGAATTGAGAAAAATATGTCCAAAATTTTGTACACCATTTTAAAAAAATATGTACAGTTGAATTTTACTAAACTACCTAGATATGAATAGCTGAAAAATGTTGGGAAACAGAAAAACAAGTTAAAGATAGACCAGATATATATATATATATAGCCCAGTCATGTTTTCGTTGAAAGTGTTTTGAAATATAGCATAACTGAAACACAACAATTTGTAACATAGCATGAGTATAATTAAGATAAAAAATTTACTATGTTTATCCTTCAATAAATAAGTTTCAATGTTAAACAGATTGAAGATGTTTTTATGGGAAAATATGAAAATAATTTGAGCCAAAGGAGTTATAATAGCGTTAGCGTTTTGTCCTCTATTTCTACGTTTCAAATACAAATCAAACGACGCCAAATTTCTATTCCAATTCAAGATCTAATAAATTTGACATAAGCATACTTTATTGAAACCAAAACTGTTTTTATATTTTTGAGTAATATTTCACTAAGCTTTTGTTGGTAAATGAACGATTCTTAGGTATACTATATAATCTTATGTACGTAAAAGGCATAATTTGAATTAAAATATACATCTAATTTATTGTGTTTCTAGAATCTGAGCTGCATTCTTTGTTTCGTCATTGTCATTATTATGTGTTATTATTTGTTAACACCGGTCTCTACTCTACATTGACATCTCATTTAAAAAAGTTGAATTAATCACGTTTAAATTTCAAACCTTTATGTTTGAAATTATTTTTAAAAAATTTAAGTAGTTGTAATTGGTTAAAAACATAAGTGATTAATGAAATAAAAATATTTGAATAATTTGAAATTATCTATTATCAGAAAATTTAACAAAATTACATTTGAAAATAAAAATTACGAAACATAACAACTAAGGCCCCAAAGTGAAAAAAAATATTAATCTGACAGAACTTGAAACGTGTCGATCAACACACTGGACAGTGATGCATTTCAATGTGTATCAAACAAATTTAAATCAATGCAATGTAATGAATCACTTTGGTAAAAAATGTTTCAAAAACTTTTACAAAAATAATCTTTATTTATAAATAAAATCTCATATTTGTTATGTTGACAATATTACTATATTATATCATTTCATTTATTATATATATATATATATATATATATATATCGAACAAAAATAAATTTGTGAAAGTACAATAATTAAGTACAAAAAAAATATAAAAATTATTAGACAGACGGCTTTCTCAAAAACATCAATCAAAATAATTTCAACATATTTATAATTAAACTAAAACAGTATAAGCTTTATAAGCTCTCTTTGCTTCTTCTAATAGCGGATGATTTAACAAAGTTTTCGTCACAATGTACTTCCACGTCACATTCGACGGTTGCTCTGGTTAGCTTTGTTTTGTATTTATCGTGACTTTCATTTGATGACTGCGATAAAAAATCTCCTACATCAAAAGTGTTAATATCGTTTTTTGTATCGTGGTCTCTAACCTCATTTTTCTGGTCATCATTATTGTCGAAGTTATTATCTTTTTCAGAATTGTCTTCGTCATTATCTCTGATAACATTATCATGCATACTGTCAATCTCACTAGTTCTATTTACATTTGACGAAAGTTCTTTTTTTCTTTTAACAAAGTTTCTCCATGTTCTTTGGATAATTTTTACAGTGAAAATTTCTCTTTGTCGCTTCAGCGTCGAACCGATTGGATGATAATTGATGCGACCAGGGCCTTTCAGATCACCTAGTCCTTCAGCCGCATCATCTTTGGTACCAAGAAAATTTTTTGTCAGTGCATCTAAAATATCAACGCAATTAACTGTATCTCCTTCACAAATAGGGATGTCCATCTGAACGAGTTTGTAGAAATTCGGATTCGGAATTCTTAGAGGATCTTCCAAAGCATCAACAAACTCACTTAGTTGAGATAACGGTATGTATTGGGTAGCTTTTTCATCATACTTTTCCCATAGTTCATAATACATATCGAAGTCATCTTGCGTCAAACCTTGCTGCACATCTTCAGTTGCCTGAGAAAAATTTTCCAGAATTACCGCTATATACATGTTTATGACAACCAAATATGTAATGACGAGATAACTACATAAATATCCGATTCCTAGAGCACTATTACCACAATCTCCATTTGGAGTAAATTCTGTAGGTTTGTTAGAACAATCCGGTGGAGAGTCATTCATAAGACCTGCCAAAATACCATCCCACCCAGCAGACGTGCACGTTTGGAAAAGTATTATCATACTGTTGGCAAATGTCTCAAAATTAAACATATCATCTATTCCAGCAGTATGCTTGACATACATGAAGCAAGACATTCCCACAATGGCATATATGAACATTATGAGAAATAATAATAGAGCGATGTTGAAGAGAGCTGGCATTGAAACGGCCAGTGAAAAGAGCAGTGTTCGAATACCTTTAGCAGATTTTACCAATCGAAGAACTCTTCCAACTCTGAAAACTCGAACAACTCTAAGAATAGTGGGAGACAATGAAATCTTTTGAACACTATCCTGGATAAACATGGCTGTTAAAAATTTTCAATTTTGTGATTGAAAATTTTCAGTTGGTCTAAAACTTAAACTAATTTTTATATTTGATATCTTTCCAACTAAAAGATAAGCATAAGCATAAACAACTCAACACTAACCGAGAAGCGAGACAATAACGACCACGAAATCAAATATGTTCCAGGGTTCTTTAAAATAGTATAACCGGAAGCCTAACAGTTTCATTACGCACTCGAGTGTAAAGATTGTTATGAAGACTGTGTTGATGCGGTGAAGAGCGCTGGAAAAGATATCAGGTTGTTTATAATGCTCCACAGCCATGGACATCATGTTCAACAGAATCACAAACATAATGGCTATGTCAAACTTCTGATTCTTAGTCAGTTTGTAGAAAAACATTTGAAAAGCAAACTGTTGGTAGGTTAAAAATAAAAATAATTTATAACGGTCATGAAAGTTATGTTTATTTAAACGAAACGTTATAAAATTGCTTGTTATTATTCAAACTCGAAGTCAAAAAAATAGAAATTACTCGTGGCTTTGGAACAGGTTTTGTTGGTTGCTTTGATCCCAATTTTTTCATAGCATTATAATACTTTTTTTGGTCTTCCGTCATCAACATTTCCAACGATCCTCCCGCTTAGAATATCGAAGAATTGAAATAATTAATATTATATAGAATATTAAAAATAGTATATTAAACTCTAATTATTTAATCTTATTTTCACTAATATATGAAAACAGCAAAATTATAACACAATATTTTCAGCAAATATTGTTTAACTATTTGCTAAAACTTATCTTTTTCTTCTGCATGTTGAACTGCTCAATGATGACACCGATGAAGAGATTCATGGTGAAGAACGAACCAAACACGATGAACATTACAAAGTACAAATACATCAAATGCTTCTCTTCAAATTTTGGCTGCTGTCCGTACTAAAAATTTAACATAAATCAATTTAAATGGTCGTTGCTTATCAAATCACGTAGACATGTTTAAAACATGCAAATAAAGAATGTTTTAAAATTTACGTCTAAACCGATTAAAGTAGCTTAGATGTTTTTTTTAATTTGTGCATGTTAATCAACTTTCGAATATTTAAAAATTATCACACATTTTTTAGAAGTTTTATCAGTTGAATAATGAGATGAATGATTAAAAGTGTTCTTAAGTATTTTTATTTTAATTTGGATTTGTTCGCAACAAATTTTTATTATTTAAAAACGTTAAATTTATGCTAACAGAGTAAATAAATTAAATAATTAAAATGCAAACCTCTCTACTGTCGATTGCAGCATACATGATATCCATCCAGCCCTTGAATGTCGCCTGGAAACAGTTAAGCACTTTTTTTTTACATAAATCAGTTTTCAACTCAAGCCAAAAAATTTTTTTTAAATAAAATTAATTAAAAATCAATTTCAATTGAAGTGAACAAATAAGTCGTGATGGAAATATACCACTTGAAAGAGAGCCAAATAACCAAGTAGAACATTGTCAAAGTTGACTTTAGGATTGAACCAGCTCATGTTGTGACCTATGTTGATGTTCTTGCAGTATGTTCTGTACGTAAGAATCATTATTTAAGTTAGACTTCTAATTGGAACTTTTTAAAGAATCGTATTTGAACAAGTTTACGTTTTAGAATATATTTATTTACCGGTTTGGAGTTTCTCACATAAGTGTTGAATAATAACGATAAACTAACTTTAAATTTAAAAAAAAATAAATTTAAAGAAGTGAACAAACTTGTTGAGAGTGTCTATTTCAATTTTTACCCCATCGGCATCCACACATCTGCCAAACTTACCCATAAACAAGTTAACACCCATAATGCTGAATATGAGCCAAAACACCAAACAGACAAGCAGCACATTCAATATGGATGGGATAGCTTGTATCAAAGCATTGACCACCACCTAGATTGTCATTTTGTCATGAATTACAATTTATAACTTCATTAAGGCAAGATATAAAATTAATTTATTTACAGAAAGTTTTACAATATAAACATAACCAATTGGGCGGATCTCAAAATTTTAAAGGGCAAAAGTAATGTTTGAGGTTCATTATGTTAATCTTTTGGTGGGTGAAAATAATTTCTTGTTTATTACAGGATTAGCCATCAAACAAAATCATCCGTATTTTTTTAATAATCAAAATCTTTAAAGATTTGTATTGAGTTATCTATATCAAACAAAGGGTGGAAATAAATACAATTCCACGCCATTTCTTCCCTAGATAACCCACCCCACTAAACATTTTTTTAAATTATTTATTAAAAAATCCTGATAACATTAACCTATTTTTAGTAACACGATTCGATTAACAAGACAGATACGAATTTTTAAAAAATCAAAAAGATAAAAAAAATTACTTTCATGCCTTCCCATCTCGACACAGCTCTTAAGGGCCTCAATGCTCTCAAGGTTCTTAGAGCTCGAAATGCTCCCATGTTGGCAGCTCCCGCTCCTTCCGCTCCCCAACTTACCAGTGATATCTAAAACGCCCATATGTGCAATGGGTACATTGAATAATATCAACAAAAATCTATTTACTGCCAAGATATATATGTACGTAACAAAAAATTTGTATGACAATAAAATGTGTACTTAAATCAAACACCTAATCCTGCCAAATATTAATATATCTGTTATTTAAATAAAATGCCATCTCCTTATAACAAATAAAAACCAACAAATACACGCTCAATGATATTGAAAAATATTGCAATCAACTAACGGCGACAATGATAAAGTCAAGCCAGCACCATGCGTCAGTGAAGTATCTCTTGAAGCCATATGCAGTCATCTTTAAGGCCATTTCAAATACAAAAATCACAGTAAATGATTTGTCCAAAATTTTAAGAATGTATTTGACATTGTCATAACTTTTGTTGTCCATATTACGATCCTCGACGGCCTGCAGAGGTATTGAAAGTGTAGTAATTACCCATTAAAAAGTGGAAAAAATTTAAAGAAACCAACTAGCGCCAGACTGCTGGCCAATATCATGATGATGATGAACGTTTCAAAGTAGGTATGTTCCACCAGAGAGTATGAATAGCAACGACACTTCCACCAAATTTGACCGAGAATAGATTGGTGAAGCCCTCTCCAAATTGGAGCACATTTTTGTGGGCAACAGTCGTCCGGATATTTTATATATATTACATTTACTTTTGCTGGTAGATCCTTTAATAAATAAAAAAACGAAATTTTCAAACGAACGTAACGTTAACAGTAATCGTTGTAATTTTTTGTAATCTAACAAATTGTAATCGTTGTAATCTAACATTATTAAGCATGTTAAAGAACATGAAAAATAACCCTATTCCTCGTGGCATATAACTCTTTAGGCATTTGTTCAGCCTTGCTTGTGTAATATTGATCTAAAGACATGAAACTACCAGAAATTTCGTTGTCGTGATGACGCGAAGAACTGTTTAGATGATGATGACGGTGATGTTTCTGATTATGCGTTTGAGAATTTTGCTGGCAATCAAGTGACAGTTGTGACTGAGATAAATGATCGGACCTATCGAGACTCTGAGTTGAAATGGCAAGATAGCTGCTTCCCTCATGGCGTGCGTCATCGTACTCGTCGTTGTTGGGGTTGTCATCGGAGTGATATTTCGGAGGGTCAGCATATTTCCATTTTGATATTGAAACTGAAGACTAAATAATAAAGCCAATAACTTTTAACTAAAAAAATTTTTCTGTGAATGATTTATTTTCAAATAAAAAAATCTAACCCGACAAAAACTTTTTGAAACTTCTGCGAAAACAAACAAAAATAACAATGAGAAATAAGTGTTATGATTTAGGAAAATATTTAAACCAAAATAAATATTAAAATAAAAAAAATCCTACCCACCCATTTTGTTTAAGTCGCCGTAATCATTGTCGGCTGCATCATCTTGCAGGCCCTCACAATCACACGACGAATCGGATGGGGCAGGAGACACAGTAACGACGAAATTGTTTTTATTGTTACATTGGTTTGCTAGATTAGTTTTCATGTGGTTGCGGTTGATGTTTTTGAACTCATAATACGACGAACCTGTAAAATATGGTGGCGAATTTCGACATGAACAAATTATTAAGTGAAATTATTGCATTTGAAAAAATAAATGTTCAAGTTTTCTGGTTATACTCGTGAATAAGATTAACCAACCGGACTTGTTAAGCAACGTCTTCTTTCTGATTTTAACGTTAATGAAATAAGTGGCGTGAGATTTGATGTAAGTGACGAATCTGTCGATCCTATCAATGGCCTCCACCAATTTATTAACGCCCTCATCTTCCTGGGATTTCTTCAGACTCTCTGCTCCGAAAGAACTCAGCAGGAGAGCAAGAAACAAATTCAGCAACTAAACATTTGCAAAGACGATGACTTAACTGAAATCTCATATTAAGAATGCATAATTATTTAACTCTAACGCATTGTATATTGAATTACGAACAGAGTTTGAAAAACACCAAAGAGTGTTTTCAACTTCAATAATTTGAAATAACATTGGAGTAAAAATGTGAAGAAACAATAAAAAATATACAAAACAATTTTAAATTGCTATTTTTTTTAATATTAACCACAAGATTTCCGATTATCATGGTGAGAATGAAGAAGACGATGCAGTGGTAGCCGGAGCAGTGTATACAATTCCACATGTTCTCAATCCATTCACCACATAATATCCGAAAAACTATCATGAACGAATGAAAAAAATCTTTAAAGTGCCACCTCATGACCACAACCTCAGGAAAGTATTTTCTGTAAAATTTCATTATTTGTGTTTATATGCGAACAGAAAAAGTTCATTTCAAATTGTAGTTTCTGTATTAGACACATACAGAAGAAGAATTAGCATAAAATATGTAAAAAGTTGTCAACGTTAAAATTGAAATTTCAACTGTCACTAAAAGTCATCAAACTTAGCAAACGTTCAGATTAATGCAGACCATTTAATCTAAGGTAAAAGTTTTAAATTCAGTTTGGAAATTAAACGCCTTCTGCCTAGATGTTGTTTGCAAATTTAAAATAAATAATCTTTGCAAGCGTGTAACTTTAAACAATTTTTAACTAAATGAGAACAAATTGAATAAAAATATAATTTTATTAATTACTGTGATAATGCGCAGTCTTTTGTTACAAATTCGAAAACATTTGCGGTTTTTGTTTGAATAATGCGTTGTTTGTCACGCTTGATTATGTGTATGTACAATGTTTTTTTTTTGTGAAAAACTAAGTTCAAGCTTCTTTAAGCTTCTAACGTGGCACTATACAAATTAATATTTTTCTTTCTTTCAATGAGCATAAAACAAAAAAAATGAATAATACTCGTTGTAATTAGGTCCAAAAAGTTGCATTCCGACAACAGCAAAGATGAAGATGATGATAGCAAGTACAAAACAAAGGTTCCCCAGAGCTCCCATGGTTCGACCAATGATGCCGATCAACAAATTCAACGTTGGCCAGGACTTCGCCAATTTGAACACACGTAACTAAACACATATTATCAAAAATTGGAATCATACCTTCTATTAAACTCCCACAAATTAACAAACAAAGCAAAAAAATAAAACAAATCTCTTAATAAAAAATATTTGAATGATGAAACGAAAACGATATACGTAAAATATGCTGCTGACCAGTCTGAAGGACCTCAATATAGACAACCCCTTGAAATTTTGAAGGCCGAGTTCAACGAGACTCAAGATAACAATTATGAAGTCGAAACAACTCCATTTATCTTGCAAGTACCTGCAACATTTATTTAACCCAATAAACATTGAAATGGTTAAACAAATCAAAAAAATATATTTTCAATTTTAGCGTTTTCAAACGTTATATTTTGGTTGGAATATATTTTATTACCACAATCCACATATCACTTTTTCTGCTTTGCTAATCAACGTTTTTTCAGTTTAATGGCGTCATTTTAATTTTGATACCAAGCTATAAAATATGCTATCAAAATTTCCAAAATCTCTGTTTTCATCACATTTCAATTCTAGAGTAAAACAAACAGTTCGCATAAAAAATAAAAAAATGTGTCAAAAAATTAGGTGCATGATAACTGTATGACAAAGATTTACCTGTACAACCCGAGAGCGAGGACTTTTAGCACTGCTTCCACCGTGAATATTCCAGTAAAAATCTTAAAGTTAATGTTAATGTTTAATCTATTTTTAAATTAATAACGCAAAATTCAAAGCCGGTAAACTACAAAGATTATAAAACGCGTCAAAATAATCGGTCTGCTAAAAGTCTGCAAATCGGTCTGCAAATGCTAGAAGTTAATTTGATACATCGGACGTATGTCACGCAGGCCTACAGAAGCAGCTTTTGTAAAATAAAAAGTTATTCTTAAGATCAGAGGCAATGAATCAAAAAAAATTAGTTGCCAGTTATGCGTTTGCTAAACTGACAGAACAAAGAAAAATTAATAGAAAGCAAAATTTAGCGAAAAGACTTACATAATTTCCAAACTTGAGGATATTCTCAAGTGTGGAGCCCATCTCGTCGTGCTCGATGGCCATGAAGATTGTGTTGACGACGATGCACAGTGTTATGAAGAGGTCGACGAACGCATCCATGATGAACAACTCGATTATGTGAGCGAATTTATACCAGTGCGGGTGGCACTCCCAATCGAATAACACCTGCAACAACTTCCTCTTCGCGTATTCTGTTTTCGTTTCATCTTTTTCCATTCTCAAAAAATCTTGGCGATACACAGATTTTTAAAATTTACTGTCTAATATTTTGGCTGAATGTTGAACATAGTAAAACCAAATTCATCAACTAATCTTTTCAGAAGTACTGTTAACTAAATACACATACACATACTTATATGAATAAAGAAATAAATAAATGTATATAAATGTTTTATTTACAAACCATAACAGCCTTTCTTCTTTTTCTTGCCTGATGCTGACTTTAATAAATTCTTCAAAATAATAACATCTGAAAAATATGTCACAAAAAAGTGCACACAGATAAAATCTTGTTATCTTTAATTAAAAAATGTCAGCCAATTTTAAAAAGTTGATAATTTTTGGAAAAAATGTTTATTAAATACAAATATATATATATATATATATATAATTATAAATATAAAATATTTATTAAAACGAATGTTCAACTCAAACTATGTTGAGATGGTGCCACAAAAAGTACCTTTCATGTCGAGGGAAGCCGTCGGCGAGGGCATGACAAAAGGATTATCAAGGAAATAATTTTCTTTTTGTTTCACCCACGGTTTCAAACTGGTTCGTCTCTCCTTTTGCATCATTATGAGATATTTCATTAAAAAAATAATGAGCACCATTGATTTTGAATATTTAAACATTTCAAGGAAAACATTAATTTACGAAACGTTATCTAAGACAACGCGACCATTTTAAAATGTTATAATAAACATTATCTGACGACTAACTTTATCATCTGAATATTCAACAATCAAATCCTTGCTATCTTTTTTATTAACTTCTGTTTCAGCCTCGATCTTTCGTGTCTTCATGTTTCTCTTCCAGTGAAAATGCGTTGGCTCAGACGGTTTAGGAGTAGTGACAGGTTGAACATTTTTCTGCCTTACTAATGGACTATTTCTTTGCCTAACAACACTATTGAAACGAGATTTTGGAGAGCCATAACTTTCTTGTTGTTGAATGTATTGAGTTTCAAGTTGGTTCAGTAAACTGTCAACGATGTTGAAAATATTAAAATTATCTGTCAATTATTCAATTTTTAAAGCGATATATTTTTTAAAAAAATTTTAGTAACAAATCATTTTATTTACACCAGCTTTCAAATTTAATAAGAATGCTTTCAAAATGAATTTAATATAATGAAAATCTAGTTTGATGCAGAATATGCGTGTGGTGAATTGCAGGTAAATGTGAATAAAACTGAACGTACCTTGCTTCACGTATCATAGATGCACTAAAAGCTATTATAACAACACCCCGCAATTATAATGATAAAAAAGTATTTGGTTACAAATGAAAAAAGCTAGGAAATCATTTTGAAACATGGCAAACTAATTATCAAAAAACTTGTCATGAACTTCACTAACAAGTCGGACGAAGGTGTGACAGCAGTTGAATCATCAGCAAATGGAAGATCGAGATTGAAGAGGCAGGGATGAAGTGTGAACCGTGGAAATTTCAATGGTGGAATTGATTTCAAGTCAGCCTTCAGCCAACTAAACTGACTGGAGCGCAAGTGTGAGTTGAGTAGCGATGTTGGCTGTACAACTGTAGAAGTGGTTGGTGTTTCAGGCAGGCTTAAGCTCTTCTGTAATTTTATAAAAAAAATTATCAAGTTTCCGTATTGGTATTTATTTTGTAATGGTATTCATATTAGTATCATTATTATTATTTGTATTTAAATCAAATGTGGAAATCTTCAAAAATGCATTTAATTGAATCAAACCTTCTTTTCTTTCCAGTCCGATGCCTTGCTAGCAGACTCCACCCCACTTTCTGATTTTATGCTGATTTTTTCGTCATCAGCTCCCGCCGTTAAAGAACATTTTGACGAATTAGACAACCTTAGTTAGAAATTAATATTTACCAGTGTTATAATTGAGTGATATCAAATTAACATTAAAATGTATAAAATTGGGCTGCCATCCTCTCCACTAATAATTTTTCAAAAACTCACTGAAATTGTTGTCTTATATAAACTATAAATTTTTGCAATATAGCAAATTTCATGTAAAGTATATAAAATTGAATCGTGTTAACACCACAGGGCATAGAGTTTAACAATCGATTCATTCATGTACGTTGATTAAAAACAAAATTAACCTATCTAGCGAGTTGTAATTTATTTGAATTTCGATGATATTTTATTTCGTTAACAAAATAAAAATTGAAACCAAAACAATTTTACGAAATGTTGAAAATGAAATAACGAATGTTATGATGACAACCTGGAAAACTGTCGCGTTAATTTTTTGTAACTGGTGTTATTGCAGTTGTTGGTGACGTTGGTTTGGCTGGAATTGAGATTATTTTCATCATTCTGGCTGTGATGATCGCCAACACCCTCATCAACATCTTCCTGTCCTCCATCTTTTCCATCTCCTCCATCTTCTTCTTCTTCTTCACACTCTTCCTCAAGTGCCAATCTATCTCGTTCTTCTCTCTGAAATGATAATTTAATAAAAACTACTAAAGTTTTTTATGCATTAAATTTTAAAAATTGCGTCAATTAAAGTTTAATTAACAAACATTTATTGACATCTAAAATCTTTTTCCCAAATCATTACATAAAATGCGTCCGAAGCAACCGGTACGAACATTAAGATACAGTACGGTACAATAAAATACAATGTGCGACGATACAATAGAGTACAGTACAATACAGAAAAACACACAAAACAATACAATAAAGTACCACTCAACTCAATGTACAACTATGCAATACATTACAGAATAATACAAAAGAACGCGCAAAAAACATGGAATGGAGTGAACAATCTTCAGACCTGTGCATCTTCCCATTCAGCCTGTTCAGCCTCAGCTTCTTCGGCATCCAACTGATCCTGCCGGCGGCAGTCATCGTAGGCCATTGCAACGATGGCCAGGATGACGTTAACCAGGTAGAATGAAGCAAAGAAAATGACAAAAATGAAGAAGAGCATGTTTCCTTTGCCGTGAGCTCTTATAACCTGGTCGGTGGTTGATGGTTAGTGGTTTATAAACAAACGCCTTCAAATGCAACGTCATGCTATTTTTAAAATTGATTGCTTTTTTATAACTGAACGTATTTTTCCATAAATCGTTATTCTGATTCGAAATACACTGATTATACATTTCTCATCACCTTATCATCTGATGAGAAATCAAGGCACAAACACGAACAGAAATAATCTTGGTTTATGAAATGCGAAATCCATTAGGGAGATGCATTTTTAATGAAGTCAGCATTGAACGTTATTGGCTTTAAACCAGCGTTAATTATGCTCGGCCGCGAAAGTAACACAAATTTAAATATTGCTCTAGATGTTTAGGAGAACATTTATTGGAATACTTTAAAAATAAGAACAGCCTTAAAATGTTCATATAACATTGAAAACTATCAACTTGTTGATAAAGATTTTCCCAAAAATCTTGAGTCATGAGTCGAAATGCACACAGCATCGCCCAGCCAAAATTGTCGAAACTGGTGTAACCGAGATCTGGGTTGGTGTCGGTTTGTACGCAGGACGTATTGGCTGGGCATTCTCTGTCACAGAAATTTAAAACTGATCGTTAGAAAATGAAACTTGAACTGGTTTGTAGCTTACCAAATTTGACAATTTTAAAAAATGCTGATACAAGATGTGATAAAGACATAACAACTAAAATTCTTTTAACAAGTGAAATCAATAATTCATTTATTTTAATTCAAATTAACAAGAATTTTGCAGCATATGTAATTTAAATACTGAAAGATGTAAATAACTTCGTCGTGACAGACTCACCCTCCACCACATAAGAGCGGCTTCGAACCGTCTGGCGTCATGATCCAGTTTGCTGGAATCAACAAAAGTTGGATCAAAATATTGAATAAGAAAATATTTGTCATCAAATTACACACTGGCACTTAAAGTCGTTCATTGCATAATTGTATAAAAATAATGGAATGAAACTTCATGAAACGTCTAAAATTATTTATTTTATAGATAGCGTAACTTTGTGCATTCTTACATGTATTTTACTAACTACTAATAAAGCTGTAACCAACATTTGCCATTAACAGGTATTATTTTTAAAAAAAAAAAGAATAATTTTTTTTCTACTCAACTACTGCTTGCCATTCATTCTCACTTTCTAAAAACATTTAACATCCTTGGTTCAACCCTACAATGAGGGAAATATAATTATTAAAAATCATGTAAAAAAAATTCGAAGAAAAAGGTTCATAATTTGTAAAACATCCTGTACGCTGTTTCAGGGGCGCTTTCTTTACTCACACGGTTTACAAATAAATACGCTCGCAAAGCAACGCGCTGTACAACATGCATGTGTGCTAAGTGAACGATCGACAGGAGCCGTTCCCGGCAATGCAGAACCAAACTTTTTATCAACTGCGCAATCTCCTCGCCAAATTTCCAAAATTTAATTGATAAGCCTTTATTACCAAATTTACTAGCCTTCGCTAGTAACAAAACAAAAAATTAGAATGAATATTGCTTATTTTAACGTTTTAAATAAATAATCAACCATTTAGCATTATAATTCCGAAAGACACCAAACAATATAGATGAATTGAAATTTAAAAAACTTAATATTAAATTTATAATTTAATTGAATTTGCTTAAATAAATTGATATAATTCATATAAATTTTCAGTCAAAATTATTTGGTTGTCAACTGTTTAAAACTCTATGAAGTTTCTCATTCGAACGATGGTTAAATTTATATGTGATTTTTTCGATTTGAATAAAAACATACAATCATAAATATTTAAACAAAATCCAATGAAAACCTTTCAACTAGGCATATAACATTATAAATTTATTAAGACCAAACTAAAAGCATGCTTATAAATTATGATCTCAGAAGTTTGCAGACTAACACTCATTGTTAACATACTGCTGGATGAACGTTTCGTTTGTTGAATTCGCGATGCCCAACTCCTTGTACAGTTTGATGCACTTTCTCGTGAGAAGACCGGAGTACAACTGAAGTCCAATGAGGGCAAAAATGGAGAGGACGAATAAGGAGAGGATCATGACATCTCGCAGACGTCGCACAGCTTCCATCAAGGCACCCACTATTGTTTTCAGCCCTGGACATTCCAAAAGTTTAATTAATTAATTAATTAACTCATCCATTCATTAATTAGTTAGCAGTGTATTCATTTAAATAATAGATAACCCGTATGTGATTTCATAATATTTTTTTAAATTTTAATCATATTTCAATTTTAAAAATTGATTCCAACTGAACATTAAAATATATAAGAACCTGTCAATTGAAATTTTTTTGATAACATTGAATAAATGCAAAAGGAAAATAAGTGAAGTGAAAAACAACAAGAAATATCAACGAAAAATTGGAAAAGTAATTTCAGTTCTTCTTTATGAAAAGCGTTTTTGCATTCTTATTTATCCAGCCAATGAATTGTTTCATTATATTTTATAATGGAACATTGAGCACCAGAACTGCACAACAGCCATATAAATCAACAGAGAGAAGAAGAACATTTTTAGGAGGATAGAAAATATCATTATTAAAATATATAAACAATTTGAAATTAGATTCTATATAATTAAACAGAAATCCGAACAAAAATAACTTTTTGCTTTATAACACCTCGGAAATCGGACAGCATCGTACGTTATCAAGAATACTTCAACTTAAATAGAACTTGCGTAAACTGCTGCATCAAATGTGGCTATCCTATTTCATATTTAATAATTAATTTGACAGAAAATTGTTTTCAAAATATTCAAAACTGAAAAAAATGGAAGGAAAGCCGACCTGGAACGACTGCAACTGTTTTCAACGTTCGGAGAACTCTGAAAGTTCTGAGGGCTGATGCATTGCCCAAGCTCTGGAAGGACATGGTCACATATCTGGGCAGGTGTTCAAATGACGTTTCGATGTATCGTTCATTTCATGATACAACATTGTTTGGCATGTGAAAGTATTTTTCATTAAAATTACTATTATTGAACAAACATTGACAAGCAATAATTTAAATAATTTAAATTTAATTTTAAAAAATAACATGCAAAAGTTTTAAACTAAAGAAATATAGTTTCTTTTTTAAAATTACTCATCCATATGAAATAGTGTAATTGATCAAAAGTGCACTAGCATTCACAAAACTCATCAACAACTTTACATCTGACAATAAAAAGCTACATAAAATTTCTTGTTGATGACAAAACATGGTACGACGCCTTAAACGGTTACAATTTCCACAGTCTAAATTAAACATATGGATTGATAAAATACACGTTGTTCTGTAAAGAAAAGCGTGGAAATGGAGCTAGATTATTATTAGTGCCCGTAAAGGATTCTAAAAATTTATTTCAATTCATTCTTCTTTTTGCAGTAGGTTGAGGTGAGCGCAATAACATGTGATTGGTGCATGGCGCAAGAAACTGCATCGCTATTGCAATTATCAACTCATCGTCATCTTGTCATTTTATAAGAAATATGAAAAACATAAATTAAGGCCATGGATTAAAATTTGAAACTTGAAGAAACAATGAAATTTTATTAATAATTCAGAAAACTTGAATAGAAATTTTGATTAAAAAATTTAAAAAAGAGATAACCAAATATAAAAAGATACCAAAATTCCACAAAAAGTTCAGTTAAATTTTAAAATCACTATTTGCCATTTTATAACGCATCACATCTTGTCGATTTTTTTTAAGCAAAACTGAACAAAACAAACCAGCATTGTAATACTAAAACACTAGATGCAAATAAGACGAACATAAACTGATACCATATTCTAGAAATTATTCCAACCATAACCCGTACGCCATAAATAATATTTTATTAATGCTTGCAAAAACTAATATGAAAAACTCATGAATGCTCATTTTTACGATACTAGCATGAAATAATTAGAAAAAAACCAACAATATATTGCGGGGAGTTTAAAAAGAACTACAAGAACAAGAATAATCAATAGAAGATAACAATCTTGGGTCTATGGGAAGAAATTAATTGCCAACTCATATCTGACTGACTGGATGTTCATATTGGCATCGTTACAATTACAATCATAAACATCTTGCGCTGTGGACTGTTTCCTCGTCGTCGTCGTCGTCCTCCTCATGGCCGCTCAACTTTCTCAAAACATAAATCAACGAACAAAAAATATATTAAAGAAAAATTTCGCAAGACGCCCATTTCTTGCCTCTGAGAAATCTTATAATTCATGCAATTTTATGCCAGTCGCAACCTCAAACTTTCTCTTACCTTCGAGTTGATATGTGACTTGTTATTAATAATTTGTTGTTTGCAATCAGCGCATTTAAATTACTACTAGTTTTATTCTTCTACTTTATGTTTTGAAATTTTGTGAGGAATAATAATATGAAAATATGCAGCAAACTGACCGGCGGATTTTAGAATAACGAAGAATTAAATGAAAGTTGATTTTATAATGTCATCTCTTAAAAATTGCTTCCATGTGCAATGTCTAAATAATTAATTTGAAGTTTCTATAAATCGATTGTTTTGAACTAATTGAACAAAATTTCCATGTGAAGAAACATCTGCTGGTCCAAAAGGTCTAATGAAAGAAAAATATATGAATGGGTTGGATCAAACATCTGATGCTAAATATCATCCTTTCAACAATTTTTTTAAAAACGCGCATTATAAAAAATTTCGAAACAAAATTAACAAAATTTAAATATATATCTTAATATAAGTTTTGAATAGAAACTGGCAAAAAAACTACCAAAAGAGTATACAAAACCATTGGTGTTAATTAACAATTTGTTATTTGACGGATTAGTATTGAATTGTTTATTTTTAACATTTTGAAAAAACATTTTGGAAGATTATTTTGAAAAAATATTATAAAACAATGTTCAAAAAAAAAGATGAACAAAGACTCCAACATCAATAAAACGCCCCAAAATTATTAATTCTCATAAAATTTAAAAAAAAATTTATTATTACAACCAACAATATAAATCACGTAGTTGTTGAAAATATATAAAGAATATTTTTATTCGAAAATATTCCCAAAAAATTAAACACAAACTTAAAATTGTATGAGGAAAATTATATGCAAGCACACGTTCCACGACAAACACAAACATATTAATTTTTGAATTTTTGTCTTATTGCTTTCATTTTTAACAACAGTGATCAAATAGTTGCTGCTTGAAGCAAAATATTTTGATGAATTCACCGGCACAGAACTATGTGAACAGAAATGTTATTTGGATTATTTTAGATTTATATTTATGTTGTTGATAACAAGGCATTTCTTTGTGAGGAATAAAATTGTCTGTTGTTGATATTATTTTACAGAACAATTCATGACAAACAATTTGGAATATTTTTAATTTAGCTTTAAATATATGTCATTAAACGATGCGTTCCTTTTAATAAAATAAAAATAAAAAACAATATCGTTAACGTATGAAAAAATCGTTCAAAAATCTACAACAAGTTATATAGAAATAATAACATGTTAAAAAGTGTACGAAATTAAGAAGCAAAGAAGGAAAGAAAAAACTGAAACAAACAGACTGAAGAAGCCATGCTTCAATAATTCATGGTTGCTATGGGATATCAGATAAATATTAACGTGCTTTATATAACAAATTCTTTCATACATTGCATTAAACAACTATAGATGTAAGATAGGTAGAGTTGGGCACGTGTATGTACCGTGCAATACGTTTACAGGTATGTGAGCTAGCAATAATGTTAATACAAATTTTGAAATATAAAGCAAGTGACGTACTAATGAAAAAATACGAAAAACTATGGCGTGTACGAGAACGTACGTGCGCTTATGAGGTTGCCGCGTTGATTACTCATCCTAAATGAGATTCCCATCATATGGATACCACAATTAATTCCAACAATGCTGAATTTTAAATGTTGTGCATAAGTAAATATTTACCAACTGAACAGAAGAATTACACCGTGTATGACACCATGTAATGAAATTTAGGTACCTGAATACAAACACAGTGGTTAAGAAGCTCAATGAAACAAAAATGTACTAATGAGAATAAATGCCCTGAACAAATAAGATGTAATACAAAGTTTTAATAAGACTAACGCTGAGACAACAACGAAGAAGTCCAGCCAGTTCCAGGAATCGCGAAGGTACGTGAAGTCCTCCATGATGAAACCACGAGCCAACATCTTGATGGAACCTTCAACTGTGTAGATGCCCAAAAATGTATTTCTGCAATTTTTATTTAAAACGAAATTGAAAGTTGTCGTTATAATTTGAGGTAAAGACTCTTTCTTGACAAAAACTTTTATCTTGTTTTTAAATGTTTAATGCAATGAAAGTTTGTTTGTTCTTTCTTATGCTGCGCTGCCAAATGCGGAACTGTCTACATGTCATTCCATACATATAATTGAAATTTCATGCTGCAAAAGCTGTACTATCCACACAACATGACGCATTATACGCGCATGACTTATAACTATAGTCTTTCAGCTTCGATCAGAGAATATTCGAACTCGGCTATTGCGTAATAAAAACCGACGCGAGACTTGGAACTTACCGATTGGTTTGGGCGGTAAAAAAAATTGTGCCCAAAAAGTTACTATCAGTTCAAGGATTTGAAAAATAAAATGAACATGCATACTCAACAGCTGGAAACTCGTGGTTCATCGCCATGAAGACGCAATTGACAAGTATGACAACCATGACAAACAAACTGAAAAATGTATTTTTAAGTTAAGGAATAATTTTGAATAGCGGCTCAAAACAAATGTTCTGAAAATGAAAACGAAATTTTAACAATCACTGAATAGTTTAATTAATCATCAAAATGTGTCAGGAAACGTAGATTTTAAAAAGGATATGGATGAGTGATTATTCTAAGACACAGTCGTCTTAGCGGATGGAATGGACTCAACAGAAAAAAAGCTTTCGATGCACTGAATCGGAATATTGTTCGATCTTTTCCCAACACCACAAAAGTCTGAAAAATTGTTTTTAAAGAGTTAAAACTTTTTTTTATTCTTTTGGATCCTTTGAATTAATAACACAAACTATTGTAATGTTAGTAACATATTTTCATTATCATTCATTAATACTAACATATCTGTTGTGATAGAATTCATCAAAGTCTTCAAGAGGTACGCCGAATAGCTCAGGCTGGAAGTTTCGGTACCTGTTGGGAAGTGGTTTGCCGGCCTCTAGATCAGGGTCGGGCTTTGGTTTATCATCTTCTTCCTCCTCTTTTTCGGCTGCTTTTTTTGTTTTTTGTGCATCTTGATCAGCTTTTTCCAATAATTTTTGGCTCTTCTCTTCTTCAATAATTTGCCCTATTCGAATCAAACTTTCTTCTGTAAGCCTGTGGAAATGCGAAGTCGATGTTTTGAGCGTTTTCTTTTTTTCTTGAACGTCGCTGCACTCGATGTTGAGTTCTTTGGTTGTTTCGTTGTCATTGTTGTGGTCTCGAGATTGATTTATGTTATCCTTTATTTCCGCTTTGTCTTCGTCAACTTTTTCAGTTTCCATATAGTTTCATCGGCCGCTCAATTATTTGACCATACGTCCAATGCTCTGGCAACAAGTTTCGCGGCAATATCTATCCTGAAATAAAAAATAAGATCAATTCAAGAATGTAAACAGTGAAGAATGCCAAGCTTTTTATAATCAATTAACATGAAAAATTTAAAAAAATGTATGAGGAATTATAGGCAGTTGTGGTTTTAAAATAAATTTCCGTGGGTTTGCTTGCAAACTTTCCTCATGAAAATCTTGTTTAAATCAAAATAACTAATTATATATAGGAACACGAATGTATGGATCCCATTGTGACATCAGAACAAACATTTCTGATTTTAGGCATTTGCAATAAACCTTGAATTAAATATTAGATCCATAAATAGTTTTATTTCAAGTACTTAATGTGAAATTTTCAGTATTCCAGTTAGCAATGCTTTCTGAGAGTCACAGGAGCTCACCGCCCAAATAAAGTTAATCTACAATTTTTTAGACGGAACTTTTGAAAATGTACTTTAGAAGAAATAAAAGAATGTAAAATTGTGAAATTGTTGGCAACCTAAATGTGGCCAACTTTTTTAAAACTGTCGAAAAACTTTGTTGAAAATATTTTGAAAGAAAATAAATTTGACCTCTTTCAACAAAACTTCTAATGCTTGCTTTCACGGACCTGTGCATGGAATCGTACTTTTTAATTGATGATACGAACAAACACAGGCTCTCACGTATAATTTAAATTTATCTGCATTCATTTGTTTTTGCTCGCGAACCTTCTCAAGAAACTGCTATTATACGTTCATATGTGTGTGTGTGTGTGATTGCGTGTGTGAATTGGTGTGCTTGTGTCTGTGAGTGTTTGTATATATAATATATATATAAATATATATATACATATACATATGTGTACATAAACATTTTACACATATACAGTTACACTTCCCTTACGGATAGTTGTATTTTAACGTCCCAAATTACTATGCATGCCTCGACTTTATATTTCATATTTCATGCAGACGTAACGCTGAAATATTGAGAGTTCCTTCGTGTCAGGAGGTCTCAACATACATACCTACATGCATACACAATAATATATACATGTATGTATAAATATATCGAGAGGAAAAACTCCAGCCAAGTTTTATCTTAGTTTAGCAAGGGGAAGAAATATTTCTCTGCTGGGATTAAAGTTAAATTTGAACTCACGACTTGAGAAAAACTTTTAATGCGTATCATTCAATTTAACGAGAGTATGTTTTTGCGTTTCTATATTTTTTTTGCAAGTTAGTTAGTTTGTTTGTTTGTTTTCCATATATATCATTTGCATGCTTCTAAATGCGTTTCTGTGCAATGTTTGTTGGGTTTCATACAAATTATAAATCATCTATTCAATGCATTTTTAAAGTTTTTTTGAATGTAACACATTGTTGCTTTCTATGTCAATGAATGCATGTGAATGCTTGCGTGTCTGTTTTAAAAATTTCTTACGAGTTTAATTAACATAATGACGAAATGATAATGTAGTAATGAAACATCAAATCACAGAACTCACAAAATGTTATCCTCATCTGCTATGACATGCGTGCAACAATATCAAACTTCATTATATTATAATATAGCGCGAACTTTTTATATTTGCTTCACATTAATAAATATATAAAACACTGTAAATAAAAATTAACAAATGTACATCCTTTCGTTTATAAAAAAAATTCAGTAAGAAACACCAAATTTCGTTATATTCTGAACATTTTAAAATTTCAACCAGCTTCCATTTGTAAACTCTTCCATCTGGTTGGCAATATTGCCAACTGCTAGTGCCTACCCGACAATACTGCTTATTTACATAATCCGATAAACCAACTTGTCTCAGCTTTCCACGAAGACTTCTGCATACGCTGGTTGTGAGTGTTTGCACGTCGTGTGGATGAGATATGCTTGCATGCATGGGAGTGTGTATGTGTGACGTGTGTGCTGTAGATACCTGTAAATGTGTAAATGAAGTGTGTGTTATGCTTGTATGGGTGTGCGTGTGTAAGTGTATGTTTAAGTGTGCATGTGTAAGTGTTTGTTTGAGTGTACGTGTGTGAGTGTATGTGGTCGTATGTACGTGTGTGTATCCGTTTGGAGTCAAAAATTGTTTTAATTTTAGTTTAGGAATAAAAAATAGGAAAACAAATGCCTGACAGTTTCCCACGGCACTACCTTCCGTGCACATTTCGTGCTTCGCGTCATTTTTCAGACGGTATTTGTAATGAAGCAAGACAGACAATGCTTAATATCTCTGGTGCAGATGTTTTCTCCGATTGGACAAGATTTTATTTTTATTTTTTCTAATTAAACGCAATAATTTATGCGGATGAATTTTATCGTGTTTGAAATGTGGGTGCTGTAAGTATTTAGACTAGACTTGGCTTGAAAACGAAGTATTCCGCAAAATCTTAAATAATTGTTAAAGTTATTCAATCGTGAATAAAAAAAACAGCATAAGCCATTGTTAATGCATTAAACCGTAGAAGCCAGTTAATCTTGCAGTGTAGCAGATCATGCATCAGTGTCTGCCTACAAGTTCGGCCGCGTCCTCGCGAAGACATCTCAATTTATTTGGCGATACGTGCTGCGTGCAATTAGTAATGAAATTCCAAATATTGTTAAAACTTTTAATAATATTCCTAATTTTTTTGCCTCGAGGTTTGTTATATTATATTATGACTTTTTAATTCACAATATTTTAATTAAAATCACTTGATAAAAGAAATGGCAGTTTTATTGCTCTACGTGGAGTTTACGAACTGAATTCATATTTACTGCTTTCATTCACAGATGTACCATACACATACAGGACTAGCAGGAAGACAAGCAGGAAACATTTTAAAATGTGTTACTATATTTAAAACGGCAATGCGTGAATGCAGTGTTTAAATCAAAAATTAATGAGTAAATGTTTTTTTTTAATAGAACAAAAATCCAAACATTAATAATGTTGTATTGTGCTGCTGGGTACAAAAACGTTGGACGGGCGATCGTCCGCTCACATGCATTCAAGATCGCCGACGTTTTTCACCGCTAATGAAAGAATATCGTACAGAAATATTTCCATGTTTAAGCAATTTTGGCATGCGCATGTCTGCGGCTTGTTTGTCCCTTACGTGTGATTCCACGTGCAAGTATGCACGCGCATGGAGTTTGTGCACGCTGTTGGAATACGTAAGCTACATACGTATGTCCGTTCGCCACGTTTGCACGGACGCTGGCGCTGAGAAAAGTTTACGGTCGGATTATGCGAAAGATTAATTGAAGACCATATTTAGAAAACACCTGAAAAAATATTTTTCTCATCATAATTTTCATTTATATTTTTGTTCAAGTTGTATATCATCTTCCCATTCATTTTGGCAGTATAGATATAAATAGTTATACAATCTATCATTACAAATTAATTATTCGACCCAGTCATATGCTGATAGTGCACTAAATAGAAAACATCAAATCATCATATTCAAAATGATGTGGATATCTAAACATTGAAAAACAGAAAATGTTTAACAGAGACCGCAGATCAGACGGCAGACTCAACGTGCTGCTGCGATTCACTACGACAACCAAGTGACGCCAGCAGGTCAATTTTCAACGTTTCAACGTTTCAACTACACCAAACGCTGCCGATGAGGAATTACCTCCCTCCATAGCGTACCTAATTAATATTCGTGAATCACATGATTGCCTATACGGAGGAAGGTAATTCACTTCAAATAATAATATGTTGCATAATAATTGAAATTTTAATGTAAAGAATGGTTTTTTATATGATGATCCCACAGCCTATAAAAAAATATTTCAAACGATTCATCTAAAAACTAAACGGCTATTCAATCTGACCCAGAAAATGACAGGGCCAGAGTAAGAGTCAGGGTTAAGAAACATTAAACTCAATTTCAAACGGTAGATATATATTGACGGTCGGTAATTGCTGGCTATTAATACGTTTAAAAAAAATTTTGTGGCTTGGTACATTTTAAGATACGCACGTGCCTCATTTTCATTGATTACATTGCTTTACAAAAAAAGCACGTGACTCTGAAATACTAAGGTGGAACACTGATGTTGTAGTACCAACAGGCTGTATCAGTGAAGACGTTACATAAGAACACAGTCTATTTTATGTAATATTTTTTTTTATAAAATTAATCAATTTATTTAAATGGTGCCAAATACACTGAAAAAAAATTTATTTCTATGATGTTGTTTGGCAATGGAATTTTGAAAATAAAAAATCAAAAACATTGCCTATTTGTTAAAAACATCCAAACCGTGTCATCTGTTGGATCTTTGATTTAAGTTTAATAACTTACTTTGTGCATACAGCTTTGTGTACGATACAATGACAAAATTGATCAGTCAACACTTGTCCTCAAATCTCTGAATGTTAAAGTTTCCCAAGTTTCCAAAACATAGAAACATAATATTATAGTTATTTATAACATTTATCAACAAATAGTATGAAAGTATCATCATTTATTTTGACAACATAAATATCTTTCCATATATGAGGTATATTTTGTTACGTGATAAAAATTGTTCGTAGTAATACATGAAATGAAACATGGATGGAAGTAAATACCTTTGCTGTCGTCAACACATACGTTTGTATTTTTAAAGATTCCAGTGAATAAAATGAAAAGCAAGAAAGAATGTGTGGCCATTCATAAAGAAAATCTTTGCCGATGATGCTGAGTGTCATATTTATGCGAGACTTACGCTGTTGCATTGTCTACGTGTTCCTCAAAGTGCACCTCTCTTCTTATTTGTGGCACCACAATTCCATGCTCGATGCATGTTTGAATGTGTGTGTGTGTCTTCGTTTGTGTGTGTGTGTGGCGTGTGTGTGTGTGGCAGTATGTTTCAATGTGTAGGGTTAGTAATATTGCACATATAGTAATAATAATATAGTGATAATCTACTAAAATATAACCGACTGTTTTGAGATTTTGATTACAATAGCTTGCTGTAATAATTTGCAATTAAAAGTTTTTATCAAATTTGATCGGTATAAATATCAAGAGTTTTTGATTGATTGGACAGAGGACGAAGAAAAAGCTAAAACACGAGAATCATAAACACGACATTTTATATTTTCTAGTTAATTATTTTTCAAAAAGTTTTTTTTTCAGAAAATTTTACAAAATGTAATGGATTTAAATTATTCAACTTTCTGTGATATAAAAACAATTTAACAACGATGCATGTGTGAGCAAAACAACAAACAGTATATGAACAACTCACTACAAATACTCATTAAACGAAATAACAAACAAAATAACTTATTTGTAACCAATTTAAATGTATTTTTCATGAAACTTATTTTAAATATTGTCATTATTCAAAACACAAACAATTTCATAGTAAAAACAACATCGTTATTGTATGAAATTTACCATGTATAGACGCAAACAGCAGGTACAATGTATTTTATTGCAGTGGGTTCTTCTAATCAAAACAATGTAGATCACTTAATAAAAATCCAATATTCATTAGTTCCAGAGCTTTTTATGTCTCAAATAATATAATAAAAATACATATGTTGCCATGTATGTGTGTTTTCAATCCAATTATTGTTGTTTGAAATATGGAACAAACGTAATGCGTTGAAGTACATCCGATATGCAAGTTTTAAATAAGCAGATTTTAATGAAGAAGAATAATCTTACTCAGTACAGCAAATTTGAGCATTGCAGTGAAAACTGTTAAACTGTAAAACATGAAAAAGTCTGATGACAGATGTTGCAGAGAATTTTTTAAAGTGGAAAGAAGTGAAAGAAATTGTCAACAAGTAGGAAGGCTGATTTGGAATGACAGGTGATACGAAAGATGTGTACAGGTTGACAGCATGTTACTATACATAAAAATTAAAAGTCATTATTTCTAACACGTGAGTAAATATTGAAAACAATCCAACAATAAGAAAATAATTTTTCTGAAGCTTTAAAACAATCAGACAAAACAAATTAAAGCTAAGCGGAACGATTACTGCTGTGAGTCCAAAGGACGTGCTACAGTCTGTCGATGTGTTATATGTGAGACTAAGTGAGCTTATGCGTTTGTATGTATGCATGTGTGTGTGTGTGCACGCATAAAAATGTAATGATAATTTAATAGGATAATTACGACATTGTTATTATACACATTTTAACGTCAAAAACAAAAGAAATATCATGCTAAAAATCACATTACTTGTATCAACCGACCTATGTTGTACTAGATATTTTATAAGGTAATATTCCTTCAACACGTCATCATCACGCATATGCGCCTAAGTACAGGTTCAATATTGCTCGTGTTCACATTCTAACGCAGTGGTTGTACGTGTGCTGATACGCTAACGAGCATGTGTGGGACTGCTTTATTGCGTAACGCCGTTTTACGAGCTAGCAGCAACCAACCAGCAATTTATACGGGCTGCCAAGACATTCTGGAAAGTTCCTTCGTCTGGGTTGCTGTTTGCTCACGTCTGTTTCATGCCGATTTTATATGGGCGTTTGTGGGGTGCTGTTTGGCTGTCGTATGTGTCTTATTGTTGTTTGTACCTTGTTGGTTATATTGTTTTCACTTTTGAACACACATAACACTACTTTACTACATTATGCAAACCTTTTTTCTTAATTTTTCTCTAATTGTTTTTTGATGTTACACATTACAAGTATTGCAATTTTATGAAACATCTTTAAATTATTTCATTCATTACAATTTTTCTCCAAAATCCTGCGGTAAAAATCTAAATGTTGCAAGTTTACTTTTTATTTGATCAACATTTTTTTATTCAATGTCCATTAATCTCGCCATCCGGTCATTTTCGTTTCTTTTCCAAATTGATAATTTAAAAAAAAATAAGTTTTGCTTTTTTTCTGATAATCCTGAAATTATTTTTTATACGCATTAATTGTTAACTGAGTCCTGTCCATAGAAGGTTGTCGATTATCCACACAATCACGTGAGACATTTTATCCATCAGCCGTTTATTCATTCATTCATTCATTCATTCATTCATTCATTCATTCATTCATTCATTTTTGTAATTCATTATCCAAACCTTTGATAAAAATTTATGTTGATTGATTAATTGATTTATTTATTGTCACGCAATAAATTAGAAAAAAGGCAAAACACTTTCGGAGAATGTATGAGGTGATTGATGATGGCGAATGCTGCCTGCCTGCGTTC